TGTCGTGTAGTATACCTTTTGCTGAGCTCAGATACATCGGAAGAAATTAGACAATAATATTTACCATTTCAATAATTATCATTACTCACAGAACAATAGCAAATTATATCAAAACGGACAGATGATTGGGCCGAGAACATAATGGTTACGCGAAATATCGTGTAAGGATGTGAAACGACGAAGGAAATCGAAAAGTTGTGATTCTTGGGAAAATGTAGCGTTTGCTACGACGGAACGTCCACCTCTGAAGCGCAAAGCAGCGCAAACGATATTTATCCGCACACTCTTTGTTAAGCCAGCTGCGCCCATTTCGCGAACACGTACACACACATGGGTTTTGTATATACGAGTACAGCTGGTACAAGGTTGCATACCTAAAACGTGCTGCGCGTCATAAGCTCCCAGTCTACTGCACCGCGTTTTAACTGCTCCCACCCTGCACATCTGGATGTATACGTGGACATCGGGGTTAAGTAGCGTGCTGGCAAAATTTTTCATGCCAAACTTTCTTGCCACTTAGCGATCCAGATCTATCCGCGGGATTTACACGCGGTCGATGAAGCAGAGCTATGTCGCGTCGGGGTCAGTGCTAGGGGTTAATTCACCTCGGCAGGAGTTGGGTCTTAAAAGTAAAAGTAATCTATTGATGAACGAATGTTGCTATTAAAATCCACTCACGCTTTTAAATTTTTGCTAAAAACATGAAAAATATTAAAAATTTCATGTGATTTATTTTCACGTTTTCTTTACGGGAACTTTTTACGAGAACTTTCGATCTCTACTTTAAAAAATTAGCTTATTCTATTATATAGCGAATCCGCGCAGGACCAAGGCCGGTATTTTTCGTAAATATTCCGTAATTTTCCAAGCGACACGACCAAACAGCCATGCATCTCTCCTCTTTTGTGAATCGCAGCTGCATGCGAACGAGCCTGAGCGAGACGTCACGCGACGGTTCTCCCGGGGATGAGACGGATTTTCTTCTTTTTAAAATCATTTAGGTCGCGGCTCGACAGCGACGTACTCATGCTGACGAGATATCGAGTTCAAACGACCCTTGAGCTCAAACGTTCGTCGATCTACCCTCCGACGAGTGTACACAAGGCAGACAGGCGAAACAAAAACCGGTTTTCAAATCACGAATCGGCTTTATGCCACGCCCGATCGAGTTTGAAATTTAATCAGCGTACATGGAATACTCTCTCTCTCTCTCTCTCTCTTTATATATATATATACGTGTGCCCCGTTGTTTTGCATTTAAATCGAACCTTATTTCGAAGAATGTTATTACGTTCCGTGTAACGGAACCAACCTCTACATTTAATTCGAATATTTCAGAAGCTTCCCTGCACCATAATGTACAACCACCTATTGCAATAACATTAATCCTGCACCAAGCAACCATCGAATTCGGTTTAAATAATCTGTAAGCCCCCCTCGCATCATGAAATTAATTATCACAGCATACGCAGCCAAATATCCCAGCACCATCCAGGTTCCAATTGTGCTTCCTCAAGTAACGTCAAGATCGCGAAAGAGGACTGCAGAATGCTAATAAGTAGGAGGCGCGGTAGCCGTGCTTTGCGGGGCGCGTGAAGGCAATTAATTTAAAAAATTAAGCACGGGTTATATCTCACGCCGCGTCGTAATTAGGCAACATCGCGTCTTGCTTGCTTTAAGGTCAGAAATTTTCGCGTGCGTTCCCTCTTTTCTCTTTTTTTGTTTTCTCTCTCTCTCTCTCTCTCTCTCTTGAATATCGATCCCATCTTTTCGTCGAGCGGTAAACTCCACTATTCCACAAGACGTGTGCTTACCTTTCGGCTCTCGGTTTTCCAAGTTCATTGATCGAGATAGAGGTGATCCTCGAACGGTGCCAAGATGGAAATGAAACTACGAGATGGAAGAAATCTGGAGAAGGTTTGGAACGGGAGCGCGGTGGGCAGAAAAGATCCAGACGCGATCATCCGTCGCGACAAACTTCCCTAATGACTCCGCCACGCGAAAGTAACGCGCAATTAACGAGACGACGTTCTCAGCACCATTTCGTCACATAGCGAATGAACATCGGTTTAATGTCGCCTTCTGGGAAATATTTGCTATTTGCACGCCCCCGTTATATTGTCATTAAGGGAAGAAACCATCTTGAACAGGTGAAAATCATAAGTAATTATCTCTCATATTATTATTTTATTTAAAGAGTCTAAACAAAAATTATTTTTGTATTGTTCCTTCAATAGAAATGATAATAATGTGATTTATGGAAAAGTGTCGCGACGTATTGGTTCCTATTAATTTATTTATGCGTTCAGCGTTACATCAACTATAGCATATAGATGGTTATCAGCGACAACGGTTCAATACTCTAAGTAGAGGGGCGTAATGTGAATCAAGTACTATTGAAAATCATTGTACCTTTCAAAAACAATATTATCTGACGAATGTTGCTACTGTCATTGAAATTCTCGCTTGGGTTGATTACAATTGATATTAATTTTGGGATTCAGAGTATTTGATGATGTTAAGCATTTTCGATACGCAAATTGTCAATTGCATTCGTCAGAAATCGAAGAACTCAATTTATTAATTAAATCTGTAAAAATATGAATTTGTCCGAATATATAATTCTACTAATAACAGAGGATTACTTCGACAAGTAGCGGCTCGTGGTCTCCTTTCATCCGAATCGATTCGATATGCACATTAGCCTTATTAATGTATACCTTGAACTTCACTTTCTGGAATTGTTGCAAACAGTCTTCGTACTTCCATGAAATATTCTTTGCAACATCGAAAGAAAACGAACTACCCCGCGCGATGATTCGATTTTTATCGACGTTAATAATAGATGCGACTCGATACTTTCGCGAGAAACATCCAAGGAAATACAGTTTGCGCGTCGATCGTTTAAATATTTCATCAAGAAATCTCCACTTCTTTCACGAAGTATTCTCCGCTATCACTGAGTAAACGTTCAAGATTTCATGAAAATTTCACGAACCATAGTCACGCTCGAAAGTCTGCAAATATACAACAAACGCGTTCGCGTCCATGTGACCTCGAACGTTTCCGCTGCTGGGAAAAGTCACGATCGCGTCTTAGGGATCCAGAAAGCCGCGAAAAACACGTCGAAAGACGTCTTGCTGTTCGATGATGAGAACCAGTCAGAGATGAGTAAAATTCTTAGCCAGGTACAAGTTTCGAGTAGAGAATAAAAGTCGAACGAAAGTTCATCCCCTAGTCACGGAATGGAAAATAGAATTAAAATGATAGAATGCAATGTATCACAACGAATGCAAGTTTCCTTCTCTAGTATTTGAAATTTCCGACAAAAAATAAAGGTTCACAAAGGTAAAATTTGCACAAAGGTTCTGCCTTCTTTATCTTTTATTAAAAATTTCAAAGCTCGAGCGTGTCCGTAGCTTCTTCAATAAATAAAAAGACACCTTATTTTCTTACATGGTATTCGAAAATACCAAAAACAGAACCTTTTTAAATCGAGTAGTCTCCGCGAATAAATCGCTGTGGGTCGCTTCCTTTATCAATTATTCCAAAGAAAGCCTCAGCGGCGTTCGAGAACCAGCCAGGCCTCGTCGAGGCGCTCTTACCGACCGACTCGCGCACGAAAAGAAGAATATTCGCCACGAGGTCACGTCGCACCCCCTTTTCCATCCCGTTACATTGTGCGCATTTACGTACGTGCGCGTGTCGCGTCGCGTCCCGTAATCACCCCATTTCACGGTTAATCAGCCGAGAGGCCGGAAGAACGGGGATGGCCAGGCTGATGAAGAGAGGAAGACAAGGGAACGAGATCCGTAGACGTGAGAAAGACACAGAAAAAGAGGCCATCGATACGAAAAAGTGGTGGCAAACAGACACAAAGCTAAATGAGGGGACTTGGTAATGTCTACGCCAGGGGTCATCGAAAGCTGTATATATCGTATATCGTTACAGATGCAGCAAGGGGTAACAAATCAAAATTTGAGACATCGAGGTAGTTGGAGTTGACATGATTGAGGTACTGGTGATGTCTGCACCAGGGGTCATAGGCGGTGTATATATGGATATTGCGGTTATGTTGGAGAACAAGAGATGAAATGTTGTAAAAGGCAGAGAATAGAAGGCTATTGATATAATGGATTGGTAAGAAATTTAATTTTGGGACGAAGACGCGATTGGTGCACTCGTGATGTCTGCACCGGGCCATAGAAAGGATAAGATGCATGGGATTTTGGAGATTTATTGGGGTACAGTGGATATTTCGTCCAAGTAGTCGACAGATCGACACGTCTGGAGGTTTTGCCTTCCTTTTTTTGAAAAATAGCACGATGGCCCAATAATTAATCAATGTTAATATTAATACATAGATCACCTTTCGATCAAACATTGGAAAATGAGGTCCTAGATAAAGGAATAGGTACCAAATTGAAATCTGAGATGAAGACATCACTGATGCATTTCGCAAGCGGTCATGGAAGTACACATGGGTACTGTGGGGTACTGTGGTTCCGGTACAAGGGCATGAGACAAACTAACGCGGAACGACGAAGAAAAGGAGGGCACAGATACAGCAAAACGTAACAAACCGAACTTGAAGACAAAAACATAATTAGAGCACTAGTGATGTCCGCACCAGGGGCCACAAGGAACTATACACATCGCTATTAAATACCAGAGAAAGAGGCAAACTGGCGCAGGAAGGAACACAGACACAGGAAAAGAGGCCACGGTTACGAAAAGAGGTGCCAAATTGTACCCAAGCCAAGGCGGGCGAAAAGACCAATACTCTCTGTCCCTAATGACCAACGGTACATCCGAATATCGCGGTTAAGCGCAGGTCGTTCAAACCGACATAGGAACCAAAGAGACCAATGGACCATGGTCGCACACATACAAACATAACAGATCAAACCCCCCCGAGAAACGTGAAATCGCGACGTCCGCAGCGGCCACTGTATATCCGAATAATCGCGGTTAAGTAGATGATAATACCAATATCGCACCTGATCAATTAAGCTGGTAATCACGGCGAAATCACTGGGCCAGGGGTACCGGCACGCGTTTCCACCCCTTTCACGCCGATTATCTCGTGCACGGTCCGTCGTTCGATCCTGGGTTCCCCTCCGCGAGCAGCAGGGCTGGCCACATTTTCTTTTATCGCTCGTTACGCTCGCGACGGATTGATATAAACAGGTGGAGCCTGTCCCGAGGGAACAGTCCGCCGGGAAGGATGACCAGCACGGGGTCGCGACGAGCCTTCGACCCTCGCGAGTCTCGCTCCTCGCACGACTGACTGCGAAGCCTAGAATCGAGGCTTGCTTGCACATCCCTCTAACCCTCCCTCTTCCTCCTTGCTACCGACGTGGAAATAGAGGGGATTTCTACCCCTAAGTGGCGCCACGAGCTTGCAAAAGCTCGCCCCTCCGACGGTTCGCTCTCGCGCTACCCCACCATCGAGCGCTGCTCTTATCTACGGGGTGGCGCGCGCGGTTAAGCTCTGGCATTTCGGGATCTCGTCCAGCACACGGTTAGGGATTCGGTGGTAGGTCGACCTGGCGGTTTTAATTTTGCTTCGTGGCCGTGCCACGCGCTCATGGAATCTTCGTTTCGAACTCTGACGGCTGAGGAATTTTTTTTTTTTTTTTTTCTTTTTCGATGTCGCTCGCGCGGGGTTCGTTAATTAATTTTTCCGAAAGAATCGGGTTTCGAGGACTGGGTTTCCGGTTCGGGGATCCGTGGAAAGCGCGAACGTTTCTCGGTTTTCTCGGGGCGGAGCGGGGATGAAAGAGGAGTCTGTTTTTATCACAATCTTCTATTTAGAAGGGGTTTTATAGTCTGCAGCGTTGATTTTTGAGGTATTCTTTACAATTTTTTTTTGTTTTTTTAAATGCGTAAGTCTTAAAAGTTGTTGTAGTTTTATTCATATACGTATATCTTTGCATTGTTTAATTGATTTTTTTTTTTAGATTGTAGATTGAAATACTCCCTTAATACGATATATTCTTCGAAAAGCTTTATCATATATTTAATTTATTGATTCTTCGATAGAATACTCTTCCAGCTATTTTGATCGTGCGGTCAGCTTAATATTTCACGCTTGCTACGTTTTCGAACGATAAATCTTTATTTTATTTTCCGTGGGCTAGTGTTGATGGTGGTTTCATTTCTGCTTTCTGGGCAAGACTTTAACCTCCTTTAAGGTTTTCGACCTTTCGCAAAAGGATCTTACTCGTTGCTTTTAGTGCGATCTTTGTTTCACACTTTACGGTTTCGTACGCTTTCGAGAAATAATTCGTTTATAAATGTTCAACAGAATCTGCCAAGGAATGTAAAACTGTAAAGTATAATACAGCGTATCTTGAATGTTCATTGAAAATAGTAAGTGTCCACATATTTATGAGCAGGGTTGTGCCTATTCAAGGCAAAGCTCAGTAATCAAATTGTGTGTGTGGTCATGTGGGGCCTCCGCCTTATTTTTTGTCTTTCCAATTCATTCAGCCTCCTGCGACGTGTTCCTTTCTCTCGGCTCTTTCTTCCAGGAGCAACCACCTGTAACCCCCCGGAGACAGACGTTCGTTTCAAACTGCACGCCCTCCCGTTCTATCTTCCCTCAGCCACCCCTTTAAACTTACCCTTGACGGCCTTTCTCGCTCTTCACCTGATCGACTCGATCGCCAATCGTGCCAAACGATCCGTCAAAGGACGACGCTTCGATTGCCAAATGGACCGATTTACGTCGAAGTACATAGGACACTTTCGAAATATTTTTATGTAACTGATCTTTTTACTGATCGTTACCGATCATTTGCGAACTGGTCCTCGGGTATCGTAGGAATTATTTTGAAGCTACTCTGAGTTCGGTATCTTTCTCCGCTTTGGATCTTTGATTCGAAATTCTGCAAGCTCCCTTCCGTGGATTTCAGCAAACCTTCCATCAATTTCTCTCGGCGATCCATCAAAATAGCTCGTGATAGGTTTTCGTGTGTTTTTATCACGTTTATTTGTTATCGTGTATCTTTGTTATCGTTCCTGTCGTCGTCGTGTTCTGAAAATAAGAGACTTGATTTTTTTTTCTTTGACGCTAACGGTTAGTGGATTTTTTTATTTGAATATTTAACAGTTCTCAGAGTGAAAAAACTAAATAAAATTAAGTAACGCCGCACATTTGGAGGCCTATATAACGCAAATTGTCATCGTTAAAATTTCTGGTGCAAGCCATTAGCGAATGAAAGCTTATACGTTATCGAACAATCATATCGCGTTTCGACTGGTAACGAAAGTACGAATTGCAATTAAACAAAACTAGAATTTCGAATAAACGGTAGATGTTCTCGTGTTAGAAAATCGTAAATAGGATTTATTAATTAACGTAGATAGAAATGCTGTTTCCAACATTTCCACCGAAGTTTTCTTGATTGACAGCCCCATTACTCGTTCCAAAGCTTCAAAATATACATGAGCACGAAACCCAGTCGAAACAAAGACTACGATATTTCGGTTTCCTCTCGGTTTTCGATTCGTTCGTGCTACGGTTGCCGTTAAATCGAGAGAGAAATCCGATAAAAGTCGCAATAAAAAGTGCTTGATTCAGCACGCATACAAAAATTGGAAAAATTCTGATCTGGTGCATCGCTACGTTATCTCGGCGAATCTATAGTTTCGACCATTGTATCGCAGATAAAACCGTGAAACAGAAATCTCATTTTCAATGAAATGTATTTTCAGCAATGATTTCAGTTGATTTTAACGAATAATATTACATCTCTTTGAAAGATTTTTCAACGTAATTAAATTTAATGCACTTTTCATTTTCAACAACGCATTTGTTTTATTGAATTCTGTATAAAAAATGTAACTTTCTATCTGTTCGTTCTTTAAAGCCCATATGTCCTCTTTCGTTCGATACCCACTTGCTTCGTATATTCTGTGAAATTCGTGTATTGTAGGGAGGAAAATAAAAGTTTAGACTTATTCTAAACTTTCACTTAAACGAACATGTAATAAGTATTGTATATTCAAAAAAGTAATTATTGTTTCCTTTAGGGGAAATTACCATGATACTGGTTGGTAATACAGGAATACCTTGATAATACTGTATTTATCAATACTCAATCATGTAAGAAACTTCCATTTCTTGACATGTTTCCCACATATGGTACATGCACATACGATGGTTGTATTTAAATGAAGAGGTCGCTGTGAAATCATTGATTCTTTTACAGGGTCGGTATTTCAGTTCACGCTGTCGATTCCTGTAAAACGAAATCAAATCCTTAGAAAACGCATGCGCACCCAGAATGATGTAGAATGATATTTTCGCGCATGCCCGTTAGAAATGGTGTACTTCTGTACGAACTGCTTAGACGTAAAGTTCTCACTATTGATTAAATATATTCGTTGTTTCTAGTTTTATTCTCAGATTAAACGCATTCATTGATAAACATGCGCAGCTCAAAAGACGGACACGTACATTAGTATTGCCAATCGTGTTGGCATTACAGTTCAACTAACTGAAACTCAATGCAAAAGTATAATTCTATCACTCGTGTCTGGATAACTAAAATACAGTATGTATATTTGTTCTGTTATCTTGTCATAATTATTTTATTGTGAATACAAATATACATGCTTGATAATATTAATAATTCACTGTGTAAAATTCAAATTCTATTCTATCATAATATATTACACATGTATACGTAATTCATAATAGATTGGTGTTTCGAAGCAAATAAGTATATAAACGCTAATCAATCGGTATATATCGACGATATATTATCCCCATTAATTCTCAACTTAGGTAATGCAATATTTAACAAATCGTTAATTTTACAAACTAGATAGAAGTACTTGTATACGTATGTACTTTTTGTTTCGTTTACGCAAAATCACAATTTGCAGCGATCAGAATAAATTGTGTACTTTGTGTCCATTAATTGCAGACCTGGGCACTCTCGGAATTATACTATTTCAAATAAAATAAATAATAATATATATTATCAAATAAATCTTTACTGTTTTTCAAAATTAGTTAAACTATTTAACGAACGTTACTTCGAGTTTTTTGTCAAATTCGAAATGAAAAAATAACGGAATAATTCATTACTTGAAATAGCTATTACTTTCATACCAAAAGAAATTATCGCGAATACTTTTGTTGCTTCTCACTTTCATTTCAATTAAAATTTGCCCATGTCCGATTAATCGATAACTCTCTCAATTGTGTAACATCGAAATCTCAGACTGCATACAAATACAAAGGTCACACGAGTACATATGTACTTAAATCCGTCTTACGTTCACGACGGTGATCGAAAACGCGTAAACTACGAGACTATACCAATTCGATATCAATACTTGGTATTTTCGTTAAAAAATATTTTCTGAGCTCATGTAAAAAAAGAAAAAAGAATCGATTAATTTTAAAGAGTATCAAGTAGGGAGTCTAGGAGATCCAGCTGATTCTCGTCCCAGCCCGCGGTGGCGATTAGCAAACCGGTTAGATCGTCTTCGCTTAAACTAACTTGCGTGGAATCGGGAATTTCTGAAAGACAGTCTGAAATTGGAGGCGATACGCTGCTAGGCGGAGTCTCGTAGAGCGTCGATAAACAGCTGATCGCTGGCGCACAATTATTTTGTCCATTGTTTATTATCATCGTCGTCACCGGGGTTTGCTTCTTCGATCCACGGATTCGTTGAGATATCGTCGCGCGTCGTTTTGATTTCCTGCCTTCTTCCATTCTTTCTAAATCTAACTTCCAGAAACCACCCTTTCCTGGTTCGTCCTTCGAGCGTGGCAGCTTCACGAAACACTTGTTCAATGATAGATTGTGGCGGATAGAGTTCTATTCGAAAGTAACGTTCTTTTGAGTTAGCGATTATTGATTAGACACGCGTGATCGACGAAGAGTTATTGTTAAAGGTGTGTAGGTATAACTGGTTGCCTGCTATTAGGCGCGAGGAAGATGCTCCTGATAGCTGACAACCAGAATTGCAGAGCAACTGGCGGATTGCGTCTAATTTACCCTAATAATTTTTTAATCTAGCATTGTAGATACCGGAATATTATTACTTAAAGCATCGTACCTGCCATGCCGGATCGGCGTACTTGTAAAATAGAAAGTTCTCTCGAATCCATGCGTAGATGTTCGAGAGGGATACTTTATTGTTGTTCGCACGCATCGCCAAACATATGATCGTAGCGTAGGAGAATGGTGGTTTTGCGTCGGGATCGCTCCGATACTTCTCAGCATTTTCAGCTAGATCTTTGCGAACAAAAGTTACATTGAAAATTAGTTTGAGCCGTAATAGATTTTTTTAAATAAAATAATGATGTTTCGCGCGTTTAAGCTAACTTCTCCCTTAATAAACGAATTCTGAAAATCTTCAACGGTGAAAATTAAGGAAACAAAATTAACTGTAATATATTTAACATTGACAAAGCTACGAAACACTCGCGAATGGATAATCGTTACCTAATTCTGCCTTAATTAGAGGCGATAGTTTTTTCCTCGCTTGTCTGGTCACAGGGGGCGGTGATGGAGAACAGGGTGGCGTTGGTAAATTAGAAGCACTCGTAATATCGAGCGATTGCAACCACGTAAGACTCGTCAATTCCGCTTCGACACCGTAGTCCTCGCTGTGCATATTCTCCCTGATTACTGACGAATCGCAATCCGTTGGTATCTCGATGTCAATCACCTCTCCCTTCATTTTCGTTATTTCTCATCACATAAATACGCAACACGTGGAAAAAACCTGCAGAGAAACAACGAAATATGAAGCAACCCGCGCGACGCACTGTTACGCGTAAAAAAGACAAGCTACCAAGCATCACGTTAGTGAAACTTCCTTCGCGAAAACCTAGCTTAACCCTTAAAGGTGTCGTGACCTTTTAAATACGCAAATTGCGTCGCGTTTACTGCCTTTCCAAGAACAATAAAACATTTTAACCTCTTGAGAGACGAATTTTAAATAGATTTTTCTTTTCTTTCTCCAATCGAATGTACTCAAAGCAATATTGTATCAGTATATCGATTTTAATAGATGATCCCACTTGTTTTAATACAAAAATTCATTCAATCTATATAAACGTAACTGTTAAACGTAAAATGTTGGGAGTAGTTGTAAATGGCAGAAACAACGCAAAAAAGATGTACGATGCAGGTAGACTATTATGATGGCCGGTGCGGCGATAAATGGACGATAAAGATACACAGCTTTTGCGTCTATTACAAATGTTTGCACGACGTTACTTCATGAAAATATAAAATTGTTTAGTTAGTACATACAAACATTTCTTTATTTATATTTCCAAAACTATCAACCTTACAATTCAGTTTCTCCTCGGTGGCTTACGCAATTACGTGTATGTACTTTGATCATATCTAATAATTCTCTATTATTATTATTTGATAGACACTATCGATTGTTACCATCGGGTCGAAAGCTTTGTGAAACACAAATGAAATCATGCTTGTACCGTTTTGCTTATAATGTTCGCTATTCCAAAAGAAATAATTCACAGAAATAAAACGGTTTTTGAAGTTCAATTTAAATTCATTTTAATGAAGAAAAAATGGAAGTGACGTTTAACGGAGGTTTACAACGCGTGTAAAAGTTAGTGGAATTTTTTCCCAGACTTGGTCTCATTGATCGATAAAAAAAATTTCTGCATCGAATTTCAACACTCCGCGTATGTAAAGTCCAAGTTCTAAAGTCGATGTACAATATCGTGAATCACACGAAGGAAGGTATCGTAATCGAGTCCTTAGGAAACGATTGCTAAAGTTTTGGAGAATGTTCGATTAATTGTCGAATAGTGTAGGTAATAATAAAAAGAATGCTCAATGGTGGAAATAAATACAATAAAAATTGAAATGAAGGATTCACTCGCGTATCGGTCGAATTTATTTAACACTAAACCTATCACGTCTTCTTATATAAAATATATAAAATACCCTACAATTGTTTCGTGGATTATTAAATTAGGTAACAAGTGAAACACATTTATGCGTTCAATTGTAAAGGGTGTCTTTAAAATAGGTGCAAATAAAATGTCGGTAGATTTAGGGTTGAAACTCGAGTCGAAACCTTTTTTTTGGTGGTCAATGTTTTCGAGGAAAGTGTAACTTTTTTGTTTCGAGTATATTCAGTAACAAAAGAATACTTGCTGATGGAAATAAACACACTAAAAAGTGATCCCGAAACCTCCCCCACGCGCATCGATTATGAAATTCCCCGAATTCCTCTAATACTCAACGATTCTACGCCTTTCGGGGACCAATGCTTCCGACGTGAATTTAATTTTCTCCTTTTCAATATATTTACACAATGCTCGACGATATACACTGTCACGATTTGTCGTATATACATACGTTTTCACTGGCGTACACCGTAAAGTGTCTAAACCGCATGATCGTTCGAATGAAACTAGTAGTACATGGTAGCTGGAACCCTGATAATCCCCCACTTTGAATGTTGTTTCTTGCCGTGAACCATTGGTCGTGGTTGCCGCGCCGGACAGGTGTTGGCTCCCTTTTGCAGGTGGACCATATGTACGTACGTGCTGTTTAAACCTACGGTTCCAGTCCCTCTTTTAATTTCTCGGACAGTAAACATGGGGAAAATTCGCCCTCGTGTTTCTTATTCGTGGTGCACTCACCCCTTGTGCACTACGTTCTCGCTTTTCGTTCTCTGACTTTCCTGCCGATTGATACCATTAGATAAACGGAATAATAAAAATTCTGTTTCCTTTCAGACCTTACAATAACATACATATAATGTTTAGAAGTCGATAATTGTCTGATGTACAGGCCCTGGCAAATAGATACGTTACCCTGGTTTTGATGGTTTTAATGGTTGAATAAATGTACAGAATTAAAAAACTTACTGTACATACGTGAATATAAGACTTATATATTTCAAGGGTAAAGGTTTATCTGAATGTAAATTAACATATTTCTTATAAAAGATTGGTTTACTATCGGTAGAGTGGTCGTAAACGATGAAATGATAGGAGAACTTCTGCGTTCCTCCCTGTAACTCTATTGTATTCGGCCGAGTTAAGGAGATATACCTCCCCTGGATGTTGCAGGGATCGTAGCGCAGATTAACATGGGGCCCCTTGGTCTGTGGGCCCCTCGGACAAGTGCCCAAAGTGGCCACATATATTAAGACGGCCCTGTTTGGGCGGAATAGTGATTGCCGTATCATAAACCCCCCGACAGCGCGACGCTCGGAATCGACCGTTCCAGATGCGCAACCCTCTGGGCCCGACTTCCCTGTGACCTTACACGTCAGGGTTCGGCACCCCCTCGCGTGACTAGATGGGCGGGAGTTGCAGCCTCGATAGAATCCCCACGAGAAGAATTCACCTGGTCAAGTGGCTCTGATTCGCTCATTAAGTCACCGCCCCCCTCGACCCAATATCATATTTTAGTTGGGGTCCGAACCTGCAGACACCATCGAGACACAATTCGGTTATTCAGATTTGGCACCTTTTCGGAGCAAATAATTCGCGTCGAACTCGCATACTCCGAGAAGTAGCTCGCGAGTATGCTAAATAATTACTGCGAGATCTTAATTGAAATGTGTTCGCGTCTAAATGGAAATATTGGAATTGTTATCGAAAAGCACCCGAGTTGGACTGGTCGATGAGAGGTAATTATAGTGACAAAACGAAGATTTTGTTTTGGGGAGGATATTTGTTGAAATTAAAGATAAGAGAATTTAGTGGCTTATAGTTGTTCATGATTGCGATGGGATATGATATATCGAAACGTTTCAATTTGAACGTGCTATGTGATTCTTTTGCCCGTATCATTAAGAGGGGTTTAGATTCATTAATTTTTCCACCGCGTAAGAAACGACGACAAGAAATTCAGTCCACTTCGAATGCCATGAACTATCTTGTGAATTTTTAGTGAGATCGATTAAACTCTTTTTCCAAACTACAGTTCGGACTATAAACCTATTAATTTGCAAATAGAGTGAACCGTATAGTTCCCAGACTAGTATACCTTTCTTTCACCTAACAGCAGGGAAGAATAAAAAAATAAAATAGATCAATTATCTCTTAATCGCTATAATAAATAGTAAAAGATACATATATAGATTTTAATACTTCTTTTTAATGCTGGTAACAATTAAACAGACCATTTCTATTTTTCATTACACTTCTATTAAGGGTCTATTATCGTACCCTCGTTTACATTTTAACAAATTTTATTCATCAGTATAGCCACGTGAAAATCCTTTTTTTCTATAATTGATACGATAACTTAACGTTGGATCGTCAGAAAGCAACAAATCAAACAGATTATTAAAATATAGTTTCGTCGCTATCGTCCACAAAAGAATCGTAATTATTCATCTATATTCAGGCATATTTTTAAATAATCAAAGTTCAAAATAATAGCTCCTTAACAAATAGCAAACATTCGTATTAAAAACCATATGCAAACTGGCTGTATTAATAAAAAAAGATTATTAAAAAGAAACATAACAAATTTTATTTGTTATTTCAGCACGTATACCATTATACATAAAACCATTGACGTTTCACAATTATTTGTTATGTGAAATAAAAATTTATAAAAAAAAAATTCTTGTTTTCTTGCAAGCGTACAATAATAGTTCCATTAATAAAAATAGCCTAACATATGTATTAAAAAGACAGTTAAAAATCATTTGCAAAGTGGAGGTGTATACATAACCCAGTCGTTCTTGTACAGGTACATTCATTGATCGAATCAGGGAAGCAGTGGCCGTCACTGACGGATATCCCGACGCGTAAGAGAGGGAAAAGAAGCGCAGCTATTCGACGATGTCGAGTATGGCGTGTTAAATTTCAGAGGTCTGTATATTATTGGTCGGCATCCTTGGGGATCGTTAAGGGAAAATCCCCCTGACGAAATACGCGCGAAAACGCAGACGCGGCATCACCCTCTACGCAGCAGCCATCGCGTGGGCGTCATCTAAATATTCGGCCAACCCTCTTTTCCTGGAATCATGGTAGAGAATTTTAACGTTTAGGTTCATCGATCACTCCAACCAGATATTATCATCTCAATTTACGTAAATATTATCACGAATAGCAAAAAATGACTTAGACAGAGTTGAATGGTTTCAAATGGAGCGCATACTAAGTTATTAATTTCTTTGTAAGTGGCTGCGTAGAGAACTTACGAAAATCATAAACATTTCTTTGAACGAAATTATATATCTTTTACTACACCAATCGGTACAGCTCAATATTCACTGCAAAATATAATTAATTCGACAGATATTTCAATTTCAGTCTTGCTGCGTAATCAACCCTCTAGTAGACCACCCTGTACACAACACATTTTCAATTATTTTTCCGTGCCATTTCAATGTATCTAGAATGTATTTCGTTAACCCTCTCAGGCAGGAGTGTTTCGTTAGATTGCACGAATATTTTTCACACCCTTGTCGAAAAGGAATAAGGAGATTTATTGGGGAAGAAAAATAAAAATTCAGCTCTACGTTCTAGCAGTTTCATGCCGTTTATGTAGTCCAAGTGGAAGTATCTACCTGCACGATCAATAATCTCCTGGGAACATCCGTTCCCCTGCTGGCATACCCAGCTGGCTACCCCTGCAGTAATGGTAACACCAGCAGCACCACCAGTACCACCAGCACTGACAATAGTAGCACCTGCTACCCTCCCCTGGCCGTCCAGCCGCGTCAGATTGTGACTCATGATCACTTTCAGTTTTATCAACATCTACTAATAACAATTGCCGTCGGACAAATACTTCCTCGACTTGTTCAGGGACAATGGCGTATATGTTTACGTTTAGTTTTTATAGGTAGTATCTTAAATATTGCATCGAGGTAATAATGCTGTAGTAATGCTGGGAAATCAAGAAACATTTCCGCAAGTCATAGTAAATTCGCTAACGTTAACGTTGATAAATTAGAAACCGTATAAACAATATTTTTAATATTTTAGCAGGGAAATAATCGTTGTAGTAATGTTAGGAAATCGAGAAACGTTTGTTCAAATGTGTGTCAATTCAGAAATATTAATGTTGGTAAATTAAAAACAGTGTAGATAGTATTTTAAATATTGTAAGAGGGGGAAATAATCGTTACTATAAATTTGTTTATATTTAAGAAGTTACAGAATTATATACTCACTGAGTATATGATTCCTTTGAACGACACAATATTTAAATATTAATTTTAGGACCACGCCAAGAACAACGCCAAGGGTCAAGGTCGAACAGTTCCAAGAAGAGCTGGAGACTTCGTCCCAACCTGATGGACATCGCTATATTGTATTCAAATAAGTATGAGTTTTTGAAACATTAATTTTGGGACCCTCTGCGATATAAACTTTCATCAGACGTCTTTTTGTCTATAAGATAATGCTGCCTGAAATTCATCGTACGTGGAAATAAGCAACATGTGTGTTAAATTAATCGGTATACTTCAGGTTTTCCTTGAAAATCGTAAACCGATTCGAGGTCGATCAGTTTTAATGTGCACCCCTAAGAAATGTTTATAGGTCATCGCATGAGCCATGATGTGGACGCATATCAATGGGCAACTAAAAAGGCTAGATACCAGCCCCGGGACGTTACAAATATAGACTCGAATGTGAGTATAGATTTCAGGAGAGCGATGGTGCACTCATGAAATATTCAAGGAAATTGATTCCGACAACTACAGCAGCAGTAGCAGCGACAGCGACACTAATGTAGTTAAAGCAACGACGGTAGTAAAAAAAAAAAAAGGACGCAAAAACAACGTGTCAGAAAGATAATCATTTGTTCATTAATTGAACCAAGAAAACATTCTTGGCGATACTGGCTCGATGACGTTTTTAATTAAAAACGTTCTCCATAATTCTCTATTACGAGTAGAGTTATAAATGATTGAATATAGAAGCACTGAATTCATTTCTAAACCTAATAACTGAAATAAAATGTATAAAAAGTGTTGCTTACATCTTCCTATGTAATCTGACATAATTTAAATCTAAGATCGTTTTATTTGAAAGATTGAACTCACTCTAAACATGGACAGGGGGTAGTCAGTCAGTATCGAGAATGAAATTGTGCATAATTTAGTTCGGAGAGTACGCACACCGCTTTCTTTGTGCATATTTAATTTGCAATCAGAGGCACTTACAGTATGTTTCATGAATGAAACAAATGAAGAAAATGTATGCACTCCGCGTGTAGTTTAATATATTCACCTTGGCGATTATACTTCTTCGATTTGTCGAAAGGGAGATATCGCGTCTGAAAATACTAAAAAGCAGGAGAATTCGTGAGAATTCAATCAAAAACAGACGTACGGCTATATCTTTGTGATTAGAGAGGAGCAAACTAATTTAACAATAAAATTACTTAATTCTCCGTTACGATAGTTGTCCTCAAAAATTGCTCTAAAACCATTTTGTTATTAATTGAATGGTTGTAAGATAAAATTTGAAATTAGCCGGCGTGAGTGTTAACTGAATTTGCTGATATTTTGTTAAGAGTTTAGAAATATCCTTCATACCATGATTACAACCACTAACTACTGCCACCACCATTCTACCACCATTTCCTTCCCCCAAGAGAACGATGCCGGTACCATAGGTATAAATAAAATACCTTACACCTGTATGTAAATATACACTTGTGGAGACTATCGATCAGGGCCAGTTCAAGGGTTTATGGCGCCTAAGGCAATACTAGTGCCATGCTATCAATTATGGGTTAAGTTTAATTTTTATAGGTATTATGTCATATGTATATTACGCGTATGCAAATAATTTTTTTTTATTGAAAAAACGGTCTACTTTGAATACAGAATTCTTTATAATAATAATATATTCATTGAATAAATAATCAAATCATTTATAAATTTATTGTGATTTTCACCGATCGTGTTCATGACACTTCTATCGACACTCGCATTGTTGTTTGTGTACGTTTCTAAATGCGAACGAGTCATGAAATTTTTAAAGCGCAGGAAATCTTTCATCATTCACACGCGTGAAGAAATATTTCAAAATATCGAGTTAACGCATTTACCTAATTACGGCTGATAATTGTTCATAAAAACTACGTCCAGATAAATAAGCATGATATTGTCCGATAGGTATAATCTCTTTAATGTCTGCTTTAACAATAAAGACATAAAAAGTTCGGTTACATACGTAATTTTTATTTTTCTCCGTTCGAAACTGCCGAGGTATGCGTTTATGAATCGTTTGAGAAATTCTATCTTGTATACATATATCTATTGAACATCGGTTCAAAATTTGTAGAGTTAAAAGTATCATAATTTGTGTGTATATGCACGTAACTATAAACGCAAGTTACGTATGCCCGCCTCCGTATGTACACATACGTACATACATTGGATGCATACGTTACACGCATATCGAATTTAACGAAGGAGATTTTTAGCCGAAATTATAATATAATGTATTGTTTATAACGTGCACTAATCCAAGGTTTAATTTATTGAGATTTATTGGAAGGATTGACAAATTCAGACTACAACAGGTATTACAAATGATAACATGAGACCATAAAAACAAGAGAAATGCGAGTCAAGAAAGTTGAAAAACTAGATTACCTCCAGATTCTTATTCCTTATACCAAATATTTAGGATTAGTCATTCTCACTGTCGGGATTTCATACGAAGTAGATAACGATTCGGTTTTATAAACGTGTTGTCATAGTGTGATTTAAATGAGAAAGCCGATTTAGAATTTTTCAACCTATGCATTATTACTCTGTAAATGTCAACTTGTCATTAGAACACTTCTAATCGCTATGTATATAAGAATTCTGCGACACAATAGTTCACGATTCTACACAAAATTATTTATTATCAACAATGATTGATGTTGATTAATTTTACTACCTACGCTAGATAGGAGTGCAAATGACCTGCTCATTTACAATAAATTTAGAATTTAAAAAATAATAGAAATTAAGGTACAAATGTGGGTTTTTTAAATATTTTTTGACTTAATGCCGATTAGTTGTAAAAGGCGTCATTCCCCTGAGAGCCATGTTGTCGAGTACGCCGCATATATACGCTGCAACATCGACTGTGTCTTCTTCCGCTTTTCTGATAAAATTGTGTTCTAATAATTTGTTGTATTTCGGTCGTTGCGTCTCCTCTTTAATTAAACTTTAAGAATAATAAGATGAGTAAGCATTGTTTAGTAATAGATGCGGTGATAGAATTCATAATTATTTGATATCAAATTAATTTACCATGTATTCACAAAGTTTACGAAATCCATAGTAAAATGGTTTCCATTTTCGTTTGGAGATAATCGCGGCGGGTCACCTTGAACCACTTGATAAAGCTGTTCGAACACTGAATTCCATTTTGGATATGGAAAATAACCTGTAGCTATTTCCATCAATGTAATCCCTAATGACCACACATCGCTTCTAACATCATAACCTCTTGCACGCTGAGGGTCTATCCTTTCTGGCTGAAAGATTACATTCAAATTAACTGCTTCGGTAAATTAGTAGAATTTTCAAAATACTTTTCATTCAATTTGTTACTTTACATACAGCCATGTATGGTCTGCATCCAGCGTCTCGTGTGCGCGCAATAGAATCTACTAATTGTCCTGATATACCAAAATCGCAAAGTTTTATATTACCATGTCGATCTAACAGGATATTGCTAGGTTTTACATCCCTATGAATTATTCTTAGCTTTTCCTTAAGGTAATTCAATGCTTTTACTGTAGCAACAGTAATTTTTCCTAAAATACGTTCTGGTATTCTTTCCTTTAATACCTCGTGAATAAACTTATAAAATATATCCAATGAGGTGTCCATAAGTTCCATGCAAATCCAACAATCGCCCTAAATAAAACACAACACAGTGTTAGAACACATAAATTTAATTTTTATTTGTCCTATAGACTTACCTCTTTGAATAAAGCTCCATAAAACTGCACAATGCATGGGCACTCATTAGATTTCATTACAACTTCTAAGTCCATTAGTAGTTGCTTTTGTTCTCTTTGATCCACTGTAGAACGAATTCTCTGCAAATAAATTTAAAAAAAAATTGGAGATTCTTGATGTGGGGATTCCCTTAACAATATTAAAGTAAATACCTTCACAGCCATAACAGTATCACTTATTCTATGAATCATCTTATTTACAGTGCCAAATCCTCCTCGTCCTATTTCTCCTAGATCTTGAAGATCTTCGCTAGTAAAATCATATACCACATTTGGAGATAACTGCAATTTTCCAGTACTTTGCATGGACTGACACATTCGTAGTTTATCCCTACAATGTTATGTATTTTAAGCATATACACGTGTTGTAATATAATTTTGTAATTAATATATTTTATTGTCATTACCTTGCTTTATCAGGGAGATCTTGTGAAACTGTAGTACGTGGTCTCAGTGGTAGTTTTGGCAAAGATAAAGGCAAACTTGGACGAAAAGATCTATTATTAAATATGATAATAACTGTACAAAAGATATCATTTAAAAACTATAATTTAAATATTTTCATTTCTTCGTTTTGGTTGATATCTTACATTGGTGGACAAGCTGTAGCTCCAGTTGAATTGGAAATGGAAGAGTTTGTTGAATTAATAAATGACATATCACTTCCTTGTGATTGAAAACTAGTTTTCAATTGCCTTCGCTTGTCTATCATAAAATAAGCACAAATATTATTCCATTCAAATTAAGTACAGTAAGTTCTTGACTTATATGATTAATTTGCTATGGAAGTTTTTATTTGAGTTGAATTGTACAAGATCAAAGTACTGTTAATAGAAAGAAACATGCTGATTGAAACATTTAAATTAATACAAATAGGTATTCCTGCTAGGACTGATTTATCTTTCTGCTCACAATAGTCTTTATTACAAAAATTAATCAAAGTGATTTTGTAAATATATACACACATGCCCTATACATATAATAAATCTATAATAGTAGATACCTATGTAATTTCATTTTTCTTTTTAAATAATTGCTACCAGAACACAAAAATGGCTATCAGCAAATAGTGGTATAGAATATATACAAGAACATAAGTTAATACACAAGCATTCAAATACAAATCCACATAACTCGAGGCCTTACTATACATACATCAAATATTATATATACATAATTTATACATATTATACCTGACATGTCATTCTGAACATCGTTGATAGGTCCAAACTCTAGACGTAGAGAATTAAATGATCTGGTGGAACCTAAACGTTTACAACAAAGTTACTAAAAATATTGATATTATTCTAAAAGTAATTCCAGTATAATTTATATTTATCAACAACCATATATATATATATATATGCGCGCGCGCGCGTGTACATGTGTTCCTCACAATATGTGTATGTATGCGTGATACAATGAAATTATATGACTTCCCAACAATAAAGAAAGTAGCATGTAGGTTATGTAGCTAAAGACATTATTAAATTTATCAATAAACTTTCTAACATTGTGACTCACTTTGATTCGTTGGAATTGAGAAATTCCCTCGATTATCTGTCATTTTGAAAATTCTCAATGCCTAACTACTAGAAGAAGAACCTCTTATCGAAGGCACTCCTCTCTTAGGAGACCTTTCTGCAAGATTTTAACAATGTAGCATATGTGTTCTGCTGCGATCGCACCATTTGTGCAATTTCGTTATTTTTCAAGTTGCACGCACGGAAATACGGATCTCTCGCTACCCTTTAAACACTCAAATAATCGTAATTAAACTTTCTTTCTATTGTGAATATCAAATGCACTTCACCATAGACCTGTCGCGACTACTTATATACTTGACGGCTGCGTCGGCGTATGCATACGTGCTATTCCGTATAATGTGTATGATAATATAAAAGAAAGGTAATGGTATGTTCACATCGAGTTATGTTAACAATTCGATACTAAAAAGAAGCTTTTGTGTTGGATTACGCATCATTATTAATTTATTTTCATTTTGTGTAACATTTGAGCAGTGTTCTAGAAGAGTTTTGAAGAAATTCGCAAACTATCATATATAGTTCTTTTTTTTAGCATCATTAGCGCTAGTAGTACTTTTCACCTATAGTCTGTTCGATAAGAAGAAAAATATAGTAAAATAATGCACGTGTTTGTAAACATGCCTTTATGATAACTGCAGACACCTTCAGGGTTTCGAAAATCAAAGTTAGTGTAAGCACAAGGTAGTGAATACTCTATGGTGCACGGAGAGCACGTGTCTGTCATTCATATAATTTATAACCTGTACATAAGTTGATTAAATAAATTGAGTGAACTTAAAAACCTAATAATATGTTTATAATATAGCAGCAAAAATGAGTCATACTATTCTAAAAGAAGCGTAAGTTACTTTTTATTATTATTGTAAGTGTACTATAATAATTAATCCATTTGGTTCTATAATAACAAAATTTGAAATATATTAAAATTATTCAAGTCTATGAGAGCTTCTCAATTCTCTTAATTCTCTTGTTGTTGATTACTTTGGCAAAAATTTGAAGAATTCTATTTTTAATTGTATATGAAACTAATATATAAATTACACAATTTTGGTTCGTGTGTTTATTTATTTAATTAGTCATACATTCATTTTAACATATTTATATTCAATTCTAGTTTCGAAGTTGAAGCAAAACATGAACCATTCTATACAGGAGGGAATGTACAAGTATGATAATAATTACAGTAGTTTTCCTTTTATATATTTTATATAATTAATTGAATAATTTTCTGTTATAGTGGAGTACAGATGGACAGTACATATTCTGCCAAAAGCATGGCACAGTTTCTGTATTATCACTAAAGGAAGGTATGTCAATAGTATCTCATGTGGGACAAAGTGATAATGATGAAGAGAAAGATGTGATTAATACATTTAATGCGTTCAGTAATGATGTAAATATAATTACACATCACAAAAGTGGTCTTTTTAAACTGTGGAACTGGAAGGGTAAGAGAAAAATAAAAATAAATTTTTCATATATATTAGAATGTTCATGTTGACATTTCATTTTACATAATTCCTCATTGGACAGTGTAGAGTAAAAAACATACTAACATGTAGCATATCATTGTTTGTTTGATGGATCAAACTGCCCCATGCATATGCAGGCCTCATAATTGTATCCAGCATGAACATATTAATAAAAATGATAGTGAGACTATGTATAGTTATATTTATTGCATTGATTAAACAATATATTTTTAATATAGATAAGAAACTGATCAAATTATGGAAGTCTACTCACAAAGGTCCTGTATTTCACATTGCTCATTGTAATGAGACAAATTTAATGGTTTCTGGAGGCAGTGATGGTACTGTCAGATTGTGGGACTTACAACATCACGCTTGTACTCATAATCTGAAAGGAGTTCAGGGAGTTATCAGGTACATGAAAAATTGTATAGCATCTCAGTTTCCTTGCAACTTTCTCTTACATTCAAAGTGCCAGTAAGACTTAACCATGTCTTGTGATATAATTTCAGTATTTTAACTTTCCATCCGAACATTGAGAAAAAACTTGTCTTTGCTGCAGGCGATGATTTTAAAATTCATGGATGGGATATTACATCTGGTAAAGAAGTAGTTACTCTTTCTGGGCACTTCAGTAAAATTACATCCATATCTTTTCACACTGATGGGAATTCTTTAGTGAGGTAATATGATACAATTTTTATATTTTTATTTTTGAATAAACATATTGAATTTATATATAATGTTCCTTATTTCTGTATAGCTCAGGAAGAGATAGAGTATTAATTTTATGGAATATTTCAACTGCATCATCAGTACGTGTTTTACCAGTTTATGAAGAAATAGAGGATACATTTATTTTATCCAAGAATGTATCATTACCTGTACCATTACCCAAACAAAATGAAGATGCTATTTATATTGCTGCTGCAGGAGAAAAAGGTATAGTCACAGAACTTAGATCTTATAATTTGTCACTTTTTATATCTAAGGAATTAGTTTATATTGCATTATTTTAACATAGTAACTTAGAAATAACAATAAGGTATGTGATCCAAAATTTGTATTTTTATAGGTATCGTAAAAATATGGGAAATGAGAAGCGGTAGAGAAGTATATGCACAGAAAAATTCTATTTTATCAGCGACAAAAGAAGAAGAAAATCTTTCAATTACGCACTTACTTTCTAAAAACGATGGCGACACTTTTGCCGTCGTTACCGTTGATCACAATATACTTATGTATTCATTAAAAACGTTTGAATGTTTAAAACAGGTAAATTTTCTTTATATTTATATTTTGTTAATTTCTGTATATACATTCATAATAACAGACCTATGGAATTTTTTGCAGTTAGTGGGGTACAGTGATGAAATTCTAGATATTGTGTATCTTGGGGATAGTCAAGATCACATAGTTGTCGCTACTAACAGTTGCGATATAAAATTGTACCATGTATCAACTATGAATTGTCAAATATTATGTGGACATACAGATATTGTCTTAGCCCTTGCTACGACACCTGCGAATGCGTGGCTATTTATATCTTCAGCAAAGGTAAACATCCTTGAAAAGATAGCTCCTTTAAAAGAAAACGTGAAGATTGTCTTAACATAGAATAATGCATTTGTTAGATCTTCGATATTTCGCATTTTATAGGACAATAGCATTCGTATATGGTTGATGGATAAAGAAACAACAAAAGCATCTTGTATTGCATCCGCTACCAGGCATACTGCTTCTGTTGGATCTGTTGCAATTTCTCAAACATCCACTAAATTTTTCACTTCCATCAGTCAAGATTTGTGTCTTAAATTGTGGAATTTACCACAAGATTTTGAGTCAGAAGGTAAGTGTAACACTTGTTATTAATTACACTGTCCTGCTTCCATGTTCACATTTAAGTCAAGAAATTCTACATAGTTCACCTAGTGGATACAGCTAATCAAAATGGGTGTTAAGTATGTTTCTGTTATTAAATTAAAAAAATAGTACTTTAAATATCCAATGATTACAGACATGCATTCCGTGAATGTAATTCATACAGTATTGGCTCATCAAAAGGATATTAATAGTGTAACTATTTCGCCAAATGACAAATTAATTGCTACCGGATCTCAAGATAAAACAGCAAAAGTGCGATAAGTAAAATTTTATAGAAGTTACAAATAAAACTGTCCTTCAATTTAAATTACATTTGTGAATGAAACCATCCTAAATGTTGTAGTTATGGTCGAGCAATGACCTACAATTACTTGGAGTATTTCATGGACATAGAAGAGGGGTATGGTGTGTTCGATTTTCTCCAATAGATCAAGTACTTCTAACAACATCTGCAGACTGCACGATAAAGCTTTGGTCACTGACAGAACTGAACTGTTTAAAAGTAACTTCCATTATGTTTTACTTTAATTGTATTGATTGAAAGTAATATCAATTAGCACTAATGACTGGTTACATATTAGACACTAGAAGGCCATGAATCGTCAGTTTTAAAAGCAGAATTTTTGACACGAGGTATGCAGTTAATTACAGCAAGTGGAGATGGTCTTTTGAAACTTTGGAGTATCAAAACATCAGAGTGTTTGTGTACTTTAGAACAACATGAGAGTCGTGTGTGGACAATCGCTGGTAGATACTGCTTTATTAATTGCATTTTTTAACTTTACTATATTTATTATACTATATTCCAATTATAGTTAGGAAAGATGAAAAGACCATAATCAGTGGTGGAAGTGATTCATTAATAGTTATTTGGAAAGATGTAACCGAAGAAAGAAAAGAAAAAATAGAATCAGACATGAAACAGCTTGCACTTGAAGAACAGCAATTAGCAAATTTACTTAAAGCAAACAAATTAAGTTCCGCGTTAAAAATGAGTTTAAAATTAGAACGCCCTCTGCAAGTTCTCAAAATTATAGAAAGTGAGTTTTAATGTCATAATATTAATTTATATTAAAGTTTATTAACTATGAAATTATTTCTTCATTCTTATTATCTTTATATTACATGCAACAGGTATTTTAAAAACAGGTAATTGTCCACTTATACCAACAATTAGTGAGTTACAACCTGTGTACAAGGTGAAATTACTTAAATGTGCTTCTACATGGAATACTAATAGCAAAAATTGTCAAGTTGCTCAGGTACATACTACATAAAAATTAAAGATCTTTTGTTTTTAATAATAAAATCCGTCAAAAGTGTGCATATATTTTATTACAATTTCGCTGTTTTATATTTGATAGGTAGTTATAAATGCCTTAATAGTGGAATTGAAACATGAGGATTTTGAAACATCATCAACCTTGATGCTGGAGTCTATGATACCATATACTGAACGACATTACACGAGACTTACAAAATTGTTGCAAAACCTTCATTTGTTTACTTATACGCTTAATCGTATAAAACCACATATTGCGTCCACAGATTCTAAATGACCACGTAATATAGCGCTGAGTATATACAATGTATAAAGTGACTTAAATGTGTTCATCATTCTGAATATAAGTACAGTCTATTGTTGCTAACTTTATATTATGAGCACAAAATATTTTTTTTTAGTAAAATACTGTAATATAGATAAGTATGATTTTGAGAACATTTTATGTACTTGCACACACCACTTTATGATGATTCGTTTGACGACAATTTAAACTTACGGCACTTCAATTATACTCTATGCTCTGCTGTAACACACCAACGTGATATAAAGGATTGTTTCACTTATTTTGATGTACTCTTTTTAAATTTGTCGGTAGTTTCACAACAGAAGTGCAGAACTTTTTGTAAGTCCAAGATACGCTTGCATATCTAAATTGTTTATTAAGTGTTTTAAATGCTTATAAGCGGTTAGAACCCACCGTGATAATGTTATCAGCAATTCTTTACCACAACTTATTGAACGTCTTTTTGCATCAGCCGCAAAATTATTCTTCATGAAATTACCATATTTTACTTTTAAAATTGTGAAGATATACTCAGCTTTATAAATGAACTCCAACTCTTCAATACGTGTTACGAAAAACTATATACTTTTCTTCGAAAATTTGGTAGTGCTATCAAAAAAGTAAATGCAAGATGCAAATTTATCATGAGTCACTCTGTACATTTCGTATGTTTACTACCAACTTAATGTCACATGTAGATGTCTGAGTATCACACTGTAAAAGAATCGCGAGTGGGAGTAGTTGGGTAATATCTGGTTTCCAGTGAATTAGTCTGAGTTTATTAGTGAAGCAGTCATGATGGAACTTAAGATGATCTTAAGAAAAAGAGTTTGTAATTTTGTAATTTTTGTTTATCTCCTACAAATGTTACACTTAAATACATCTACTATGTGAGTTACATTTTTATTATAAAATTACTGAATTTTATTTAATGGTAACAATTGCTTTCATAGTGTGCATTAAGTATTTAAGAATAAATTTTAATATTGTTTGTGCATTACACGAAAGTACCGTAAAAAAGTTTCTAATTTTCTAATACATAAATTTGTACATAAGGGTTTAATTAATTAAGATAAAAGAAATACATCAAATATACTTTTTATTTTTATTTTCCAGTAACATCATTAAGATATACATTCTAATAAAGTATACAGCTGTAGTGTTAGATATAATATCTTCAGGCATTATGTTTATCATAATAAGATATATCGTATAAAATTATAAAATTAACATAACAATTCCTATGATAAACTTAATAATAATAACTGTGTTGGAATTATATATTTTTAAATTTGATATTCAAACTTCTAGAAAGTATCGTAAATCTTACAGTTTTGAGATAAGTAAATTTTAAATCACTTGTTTACATATTGGTATATTATTTACGTGTGTTAGCCTTATATAGTTATACAAATTTTGTTAGCAATCTACATTTTCATGTCATATTTTAATTACTAAATAACAATTAATACATGTACGAGAAAAGAGTTCATTTTAATAGCACAATACAATAATGATACACATAAACCTAATATGGTATGTAACATTTAAATTCTAACTGTTCTAGTAAGTTTAATTGCAATTAAATTAAATGATTGTATTATAAAACTCTGCATCAAAACATGTATTTCTTTAAAAAATAAATTTTAATACTTAATTTCAATAAATAATAAATATTTTAATATTAAATTTACTTAGGTAGTATAGTTCGTTTTCAAATACAATATGTAATCAATATATTATGCAGAAAGAACGAATTATGTTCTGAATCATGATGCAAACCCTATGAAGAAGAGTGTACATAGGCATTGATAACTTGTACAAACATCTGCACCTTTGATGTTATAAATTAATGTGTTTATGTAGGCAGATAAGAACAAGATGTTGGAATTGGTGTTCTCTTGTTACAGTACGAAATTGTATTCGTTAAGTTTAAAAATTCATTTTTTATCTTCATAAAACTAAAAATATAATTAAGACTTTCATGGTTTGATGAACAAACTGGTCTTAATGCCAAAAATGATGTACATAATATATAAGTATATAGTTCTACTAAAAAAAGAAAATATAAAAAACTTTGATACGTGTATAAAGAAATCCGCTACCTTGAGGAAAAAATAATGTTTACCACATTCATTTTTCAGAACTTCCTGTGTATTGTTTTACAGATGTTTCTTTATTTTTAAATACAAAAGAAATATATTTAATAACTTCATTTCAACAAATTCATCCTGTGTCTAATATTTGATTATTTTAAAATTCTCTAAACTGGCTGTAGTAAAAAATTCCTTTTTTACTGTGAAGAGTCACATGCTTTACATTATGTCACCTGCATTGTTACAAAGCAACAATGAACCATTCTTATAACATGGTAACGTCTGGAATTTTAATTCAAGGACCTTCTTTTCAAGCAACGTTTTTTGTTAGATACTGTATTTCTAATTCTCAAACATTGATTTTTCTGTGTCGTTACATATTTTTTTAGAAATTTTAAACATGTATCTGTACCGTTTTTAATTGCTTGGAACAGTACAGATTTTAGAATAAGATTATTATCATCTTGGAAACATACATTTCTAAATATATAAGATGGTCCGTAATTTTTATAGATTGGGAAGTTGTCCAATGTTAAGTAGCGGCAGTTCTATGACACAAACTGAACTTTTGCAAGAATTAACGAACGATTGCCGTTATGATAAAATGAGTAGGCCTTTTGGAGAACCTAATGCTACAGATCCAATTAAAGTATACACCAGAGCATATATTTACACAATTAAATCGAATATGGCCAAAACACTGGTAGCTTGAATTATGGTTACATTATTTTTTTGTAATAAAAAATGTACTTTGATATGTATTATATATCAATAATTGTATCTTGTGTGTTATACATTAAACAAATATTTTTGCAGCAATTTGATGTACACATGATGTTGCAATTTAGATATTTGGATACCAGATTGAAATTCTCAGAGATTGCTCCATATTTAAGCCAAATATATGGTGGACAGCTTGCACATGATTTAATCTGGACACCTTCTGTTTATGTTTCCAATGAACGTAGTTCAGCCATAATGGGAAATGGTGTTAAAGATTTACTTGTTTCCATAGATCCATCAGGCATGGTTGTATTGAACACTAGGTATGTAACTTTTTACATTTTATAGGATATTTTAAGGGAACATATTATGGATAATATGACAGTAACAGTCTTTCACTTTTGTATATACTACTTCTTAATATATTAACATGGAGCAAGATAACTGACATTCTGTATAATATAACGATATAATAAAAATAATGCTTGTATTGTTGTAGGTTACAAGCTACTCTTAACTGTGGCCTTCGCTTGGAAAAGTTTCCATTTGATGTACAGGAATGTCCACTTATTTTTGAAAGCTGTAGGATGTTACTGTTGTTCTACTACAATGTCAGCTATTTTACTCTACTGTGCTCCTAGGAATGAATGGAATTTTTACCTACAGGGACACACAATGTGCATGACATGGTGCTGTATTGGGATGAAGAACCAATCATACTTGCAGATGAATTGCATTTAACTGAATACAAACTTATTGACAAGTGGGTTAATACATCAGAAGTGTTTTATGCCACATCTCAACAACATTATGGTCATTTTGGTACATACTTCGTTTGATATGGCAAATAATATTTTAAAACTGCTTTATGTAACTATTTTCATATTTACAGCTGGCAATTTTAGTACAATTAGTATAACATTTAAACTTTCACGTGAAATGGGATTTTTCATGATGGACTATTATATACCATCTATATTAATAGTAGTTATTTCTTGGGTATCTTTTTGGTTGCATATGGATGCAAGTCCCCCACGAATAGTTTTAGGTAAGTTTGATTATCATTTCTGTATCTTTCTGTATTAACAAAAATGAACTGTGATTTATTTTTCTAGGAACAAACACTATTTTAACATTCATGACTCTTGCATCAAAAGTAGAAAATTCTTTACCGAAAGTTTCGTATATAAAAGCTAGCGAAATATGGTTTTTAGGTTGCACCATATTTTTATTTGCAGCAATGGTTGAATTTGCTTTCGTTAATACAATTTACCGGCGGAAGTATGATATATTAATTTGGAAATGTATTACTTTTTATATTACACTTAACCATATGATTATTTATTCTGTGTATATATATTTATACAGGAAAAATGTACCATTAAAAAAAGTAAATAGTAAATACATACTAAAATCGACACTAACGCCAAAATTGGCACGGAAACAATTTCAAAAAAATACCACAGGTCTGGAACGATCGCGTTCTTGGTCATCACTCGATAATGCAAATACTATTGGACAAGATTATTCAAGTCAAAATTATCTCACTGTTCACGTGAGTTAATATTTAACTATAGTATTAAAACTTTCAGACAAAATTAATTAGTCAGTCACCATTAATTAAAACTATTTTTTTATCAAAAATATTTTTCCATTACAGAGCTTTCCAAGTACTCTTAACATTCCCTCTGTGAAAATTGATGAAGACAGAGATCAAGAATGCTCCGTAGAAAGCATTACTTCCGTTAATAGTACTCCACCGGCAAAACCTTTTTCACGAAGAGCAACTCTTGCACAATTGCATAATTTTACAACAATGACACCACAAGAAATTGCTCAATGGATTGATAGACGTAGCAGAATAGTCTTTCCTGTTGCTTTTATCATATTTAACATTCTTTACTGGTCTTTTATCTGGATATAAAAATCTGGTAATAAAATTAAATATACTTGACCGGTTAAATCATATATTTTTTTAATAGTTGACGTGGAAGTTATTAAAAAATTTAAAAAAAGAAATGTGAATTGTATAATTTACATTCATTTCGTAAATTCAAATATTGAATTTAAAGTGTTTATTTCTTCATTGCGCTTTTTATATTATTTAGTCATTGTTTAGTTATGTAATATAACAAAAGTTGTTTTATACAACACAAAGGTAGATTTCGTAGAGATTTAGTGATGGAAAATCTACTACAAAAAGATTTTGGTAAGAATGCGTGTATTCAAACAGTCTGTATATATATGAAGCTATGGCAGAAAAGAGTACTTTTACCTGCTCTATATGCAGAATCCGAGGCACGATGTACGGTAAAGTGAAACTATTTGTTTTTGTATTTGGGAAGCAGAAGATATGTGTCTACAGATTGGAGCAAGGGGGTAGAGATAGAAAGAATAAAGACAATGTTGGTGGTCTTAAATGGCCATTTAATGTAGGTTAAGTTTCTACATTTAATAACTGACATCATAATCATTGCATGTAAAAATATGTAAATTCACTTGATGCCACTGTTATTGCACCAACAAAGTCAAAAATATTTTTTGTCGCCAGTCATGTCTTCATTGTTAATAGTTTTCCTATAAATAATAATAAAAATGTCAAATAAATCATCAAAATGTATAATACAGTTCCTACAGGTATACAAAGAATATCTACGCGTGTGCAATCGTAAACTTCCATCATATACCATCATCATCATCATCATCATTATGTATGCATGAGTATTATCCATGCTTTCATTTCTTTTCAATATTTTTTGTAATTCTAAAGATCTAATTTATATTACCATGTTGAATCCTCCACCAGAAATTTATAGAAACGTAAATTTGCGTCACTAATAGTGGCACCACAGGGTATCCTATATAAAATAACCCGACGACGCCCAATATGTTCCATCCAGTACATGATGATCACGCGGTCATATTTGCCAACAATTGGTTTAGATGATACACGATTAAAAACAACAAATTTTTAATGATAAACAGTGCATTAATAATAACATTATTGGTATTTGTTAGAGAACTATAATCAACAAGATAGTATCGAAAAAGCTTTATTTATGACACAATCTCATGAGGACATATAAACAGAGCGTAGCAATATATGTATATGATGCAATTGTATGTCAGGATTATAATTACAATGCAATTCTCTTCGTAAAAATGGTTATGCATTAAAAACCCCTAATTCTTTTAGCTTTTCTTGATGCATTCATTATTTACATTTTATATTTTATTATGTTCTTTTATGTCATTCTACATAATTGTCTTCAAGTACATAGAACTAATCAAATGTATAGTACAAAATGTATCCTCATGATTTGAATCAAGAAATTAAAAAGTTTCATTTGAATAGAAGTCACAGATATGTTAGTGTTATTCCTATATTTTTGTACACTATGGATTCTATTTAAATTTATTTGTATGTGATATTACATTCTGTCGTTATTATGTTTTACATTAAGACCTAATTATTGCGTTTGAGGTTTTCCTAATACATTATTCTTAATTTCTTGTAGCAAAGTATAAAAATAAGAATGAATTGTAATTACTCTGTAACAGTATTCAAAAAGTTCAATAGGAGTTCAGATTATTTTAATTTTTTAAAGAAATAGTCAGTTATAATGTAAGTGTTAGCTTATTTCTACATTTCAATATTTATATATATAATCTTAATCTGGGAATGCAAAATGTTAAATAATTATTCTAAATAACTTCATTAACCTGTATCATACATTTTAAATACATACATTAATTTACTAATAATTATATGTGCAAAATAGGTATAGTTCTATACATATTCTTCATATGAGCATGTTACACAATAATAAACAAAGTCTTTTAAGAAATTTATATTTTCATGCAATATATATTAAGAATTCAGCCTGATTTGATCAACCTTATTACAAAATTAATGACACACCATACATATGTTTAATATACAATATATCTTATACCTTGAATGATTGATTCAAGAAGCTTTCGTCAAAGTTCATTATATTCCTTTTATGAAGTGTCAGCTGTTATTAAAATAGTGTTTTTGTTCATTTTAGATATTGTAATATCAATTTTACAGATCTATTGAATCACAGAAACAAATGTTGTAATAAAAAGGCATGAAACATTAATTAACTGAATATAATTTAGTTATTATTTAAAACAATTCAAGTTTATTAATAGTGTAAATAGTATTCCTATACTACATTGCACTTAAATTCGAATAATTTTTCATTTTTAATAAACAGGATAATTTACTAACACTTTATTACAATACAGTAACTATTATAAATTGACTTTTTTTTTTAATCACAACGTAATACAAGAATATTAATATGTATCAATATTTTAATAGCAAAATTTGTATACTGTATGATCAAAATCCTACATACACAATCTATATAACACATGTATCTGAAAAGTGACACAACTCAACAATAATTTATAAATACCACCAGGAAGAAGTTAAGTAAATATTTCTCTAGTAGTCACCAGAAGTAAATCATTTCAACTCGTGATTTTGTGAATGTGTAGACAAAAGTGATGTTTATGTAGGTTTGATTAGGTTTGTACCCACTTAATAAAACTTGCATTTTTTATTTATGTCACGTTTCAAATATATATGCGATTATCTTTATTAAGCTTCATATCGATGTTTATGTACCATCTAATATTGGTTAATTAATAGAATTAATAAAAACGAGTTTTCCTATTTTGCGAGGCAGATATAACCTTATTTAAAAATTGAAAAAGTTGTAAGTTGTGATATTCTAAAATCCTCAAAAGTATTGTATATTAAATACATCAAATATTACAAATGGACAGTAATATAATTTTGTTATTATTAAATATCGCGATACTTTTAATTAATTATTTTTAATAATTTTGGAAGTATTTAAGACTTTGATTATACAAAATACTTACACTTACAAATACTTAGGATGTCATTTTACGCATGCATGCGTATAAATGATAACTGGATACGCGATAAAGAAAATTATGTTAGTGACATACGAGAAAAATATAATTATGATTTCTCCATTAAATGCTTCAAAAGATATATAATGATATTGTAATAATTCACTATACTTCATTTGAATTAAATATGAATACAATCATTTTTAAATATTGAAATACAAAGAGATACTTCAAATGTATTAAGATAATTAAGAAGACTTTGATTTGCAAATTCTTAAATATATTTATTTAAATCGTTTATTGTAAATTCTATACAAATGTATCAAATTCTAAAAAGTATTAATTCAAACTAAACTTGTCAATGCAACACATTTTTATACTTTTGGGTATCAGTAAATACATAAACTAATTTGAAAAGAAGACAACTGACATGTATCACAATCTGAATAACAAAAACACTGACAATATTAAAAGGAAAAATCATTATCATTCGTATTACTTGTATAACACTTTAATATTTTACTTTAATATATTAAAAAGTTCCTAGTTAAAAAATCTCGAAAATTATGTAGAACGTTTCTCAATAAATTATTCAAATAAATAAAATTTTAAAAGAAAATGCAATAGTTTTACAATTTAAGAAAATATTAACATCTTCCTATTTCATTATTGGGTAAATTGGAATTACAGAAAAATAAATTTTAAAATTAAATTCATGAAATAAATGAATTACATTGGAACATTTAAATAGAACAATAAGAATAGAACAAAATACAAAATAATTGAATAATAAAAATGATATGCTTGTGAAATATTTTCAATTGATTGGTAGTATACTATAGTAGGTTTGCAAAACTTTTCTTGTTTACATACCTTAATTGCGAAGGTATAGATACAAGTAATGTATACTTTTATATCCAAAATTTAAGACAGAATAGCGATACTACGTCTAGGTCCACCTATACATATATTATCTAAACTTGACCATTTCTTATTACCAGTACGCAAAGCTTCAGTTGTGACTTTGTCTTCATAAACTCTGGACATTGCTTCCAATTTCTGAGCTTTCTCTTTACTGAGTGGTTCACTAGGAAATGTTAATTCGTTTGCTTCTGCAAGAGTGCGAAGATCAAAATAGTATTTAGCATACACGCTTGAAGGAACATTTATATTGAATTGTAGCATTTCCAAAAACTGTCTTTCTAATTCATTCCTAGATAAACATTAGATTATAATTAAAAATTATTTCAATACACTTATTTTTACCATGATTTGCATATAAACTCACATATCTTCTACAGTAATGTCTTTTAGAATTTGACAATAATCTATATTCCATACTGCCTGATCATCCCAAACTTTTGATGCTAATAAAATAGCTCCAAGTACTATCCTTTTCCAATTAGCTGGTGTTATATCTATTTCTGCATAAGTAAGTAAACGTTCCAAGTAAACTAATGTTATAATGGCACATTCAGCTGTAAGTTGAGCAGCATTAAATAATGTCCTCACAAATTTATAAATTTGTTTGTGTTCTGGGTTATATTTATCATAATCTTCTGTAACACCTTCCCTCTGCAAATTAGTAATTATAATAAGAAATAATGACAATTTGTCCTGTATATTCTTTCATTTCTAAATATATCAAATGTATCTATAATTGAATTACCGTTAAAGGATGAAGCTTTTCATCAAATATATCGATTTGTCGTTGTGAAGTTCTATTTTTAATGTGATAGTAAACAGCTAAGGCAACACATTTCACAGTATTTTTAAGATTAGGTTGTGAAACAGTACTACCATCTAAATATATTGTACTGCAACTGCTACTTTTCTTTAAAGGCCTTGTATCTGCAATTTGATGCTGACTCTTTTTCCTTACCATACCATCTATAGAAGAGATATATTTTACAATATAAGTTAGCAAGGAAAATTCAGTTCTTTGATAATAATTATATTAAAAAAATGGAAAGTAAAGATACATACTTTCAATAGCTTGTTTAGATCGTTCCATAAAAATAGTACCAGCGCATGGATGTAACGACGGATCAGAATCCCAGTCTTCTGGTTCACGTTCACTAATATGTTGTAAATTATTAACGCTAATTCCACCTTCCGGCAGATGTTCCTCAAGACCACGGGTAACACTTTCAGATCCTAGATCTTTACGGCCGACTTGCGGACTAGAATTGATGCAGCAACTATTTTTATTTCCCATTCTTTCATGAGACTCTTCGTTGTTGCTGTTTTTCCCCAATAAAACTTTATGAAATATAAATCAGGCTGTAATACTCTGTACCACAGTGATTACATGTATGATTTAATTTGGAGTTCATCACAGTGTATCCTTTATATGTTGCTGGTAGATGACAATCAGCTGATAGAACCAAGAATGATATCAATATACATCTCTTTTTCAATTTTATCCACATAGGTGTTCAAATGTACCACGTACAGTCGGTACGAATCATTCGTATAGATTTTAACGTAAAAATTCAAGTTGAAAATTGTGAGCACCACTCTTAAAATTTACTGTACCAATAACGTAATAGGTGTTTGTTGTATTGTGTTCGAGTTCAACCTATGCCGGTTGATTATCGTTTAAATTTCATTTAGTCAAATTTCGTTTCTGTTCATGTATACGTGCTTTTATACGTTCCCTTCGTTGCACGTCATTCTCATTGTTACTGCACGTTTTAACGCGATTATTTCAATATTTTTATATGATTCTGTGAACACCGCCTTTAGAGTTCTGTTTTCATATGGCATATTTATACATAAACTATAATACATACCTACAGTAGAAAAAGACCCTCAAGATTTACGTTCTGTACAAAGAATGTACATCCTATTTTTATTGGTTTAATAATAAAAAGAAAAGTTCTATTCTCTCGAAGCGATAGTGATAGGTTGTTGTAGGATGAACGAGACTAGGAAAAAGGAAAAAAGAAAAGGCATAGTGTTTCGTCCCGGGACCGCCAAAGGACTCATCGGTAAAGTTTGGGTTAAGTCTTTGCCTTAGACGATGGATACTCGATGGTTGATGGAGAACTGTAGAGGAGAACTGCAGAGAATCATGTACAATAAGTATGCATACGAGAGAGTACTTCGTATGCTTTGTATACTATATACAAAGATGTATAGTACGTACTAGTATACTATATACAGGATGAGTCACTTCCGTTGTTTTCACTTATGGCAGCCGATGGAAAAAACGAATTGATTTGGTTACTTAAGATTTTACTATATATACAAATATCTACAAAACTAATTACACGTTCCTATTTTCTACACACATTATTTATTAATATTAATTATTTCTTAAAATACATGAACAGTGTTCCAAAAGTGTATCAATACCCTCTTGATTCCTAAAATTTGTTTTACTATTCTGAAGTTTTTGATAGAGTAGTTCTGGATGCACTCTTGCTAATTCTTTTAAACTATCTGAAAAAAATGTTTAACATAAATGTAATCTAATAATATTGTACAATCTTAATACAAGTATACTAACCTAATATGACACTTTGAAATTCGCTGTCTGGGTCATCTAAATATATTATAGTAGAAGTATATAACATATCTATATGCCCTTTGTTAAAATCTAAATTGTAATTCTTAGGTATAGCCTTCCAAAGTTTTACTAAAGCTTCTAATGATGCTGATCTAATATCATCACATCCGTCATCGAGTCTTTTTAATAGTACAGGATAAATTTTATGTATATAGTCCTCAGTGAGATGAAATCTTTTTCTAATGGACATTACCAAATACATAGCTCGTAAGGAATAAAATCTACTTTTTTTAGAATTATCATCTGTGAGACTAATTAAAACTGGAATTATTTTGTCAAGTTCCAGACAATTATCTTGTTCATTCAAACATTGTGTTCCTTTCATCAATAGAGTCTTTCCATATTTTTCTAAGAAAGCACATAAACATGATACTGCAGCAGTGCGTATGGCTTCAGCAGCCCTTCCTACAGTCCAGATTAATCCAGGAAGTATACAGTCTTCCAGAAATTGATTACAAAATTTTGGATCCATAATTTTATTTGAGGAATCTCGATTAAAATAATCTGATAATAGAGTGAAATATTTTAGTCTCATCTCAGGGTCAGCATCATTTCCCATGGTACTTTTTAGAATTGCTAAAATAATCTCCAAATCAAAAGTGAAAATTATTTTGATGTGAATGAAAAATGCACAAAGAATTTGAGACCCAGGGCTATGTATAGTCCATGACTTGTAGTCAGAAAATGATGAAATTAAATGCCCAATATATTCAGAATAAAGTTCTTCAACAGTATTAAAGGAATTAATATTTGCAAGAGTATTTAATAATTCTTTTGCTTCTAGTTCTATAGAATGTTCTTTTGTCATGGATAGGACAGTAAATATTGCTATGAATAAATCTTTTGTTATAAGCTTACAGTCCTAAAAATTTGTAAATATGTTAAGTATTAAATAGATAAATTTTAAATGTATAGTAGTTTATAAAATGAAAAGCAAACCTTTTCGCATACTAAAAGTAGAGAATGGCAGCAACAAAGTATTTGTTTTTGATATGCTCCTTTCTTACTTTGACAAATATGTGGTTGCTCTAAAAATTGTCCAATCTCCTTTAATAATGGAAGAAGCGCAGAACGCTTGCTACCTTTTAGAATTGCAGCAAATACTCTTAAATGTCCTGTAGATGGAGTATCTTCCAGAGTAGGAAGTATTAAGTGGCAACAAGTTTTTGGTTGCACAAAATATCCCAAATATTCTGCTGCTCTCTCAATATTTTCTACAACTCTATCATCTTCATCATTGCAAGCCCTATTATACAGTTTGTTAATTACAAATGCATGAAATTGAATGTCACTTTTGTAATGTATATTTAAAAATTCGACATTTACCGATACATAGGTGGTAAAAGTTTTTGAATGTGTTGTGTTACATCTTCTTCCACATTCAATATGAATACACAAAGTAATTGGGCAGATCGTACTCTTATATCTGCCATCCAATTTCCTAATTCCAAACTAATTCCATTTATCAATTTACTGAAAGTCTGCTGTGCTATTACACGACATCCTATATTTGGTCTGACAACTACAAAAGATTTATAATAGTATAGATAATATTTAACTGTAGTTAATATGTTCAATATACCATTAGGATAATGAGAAGGATTGTCGGTAAGAAAATCCATTTTATCTTTGAATTTTTGGTCATTTTCATTTTCTTTCATGTATAACTGTCCAACAGCATTCCAAAAATTTGTAGCTTTTTCTCTGATTTCTTTGAGCTCATCATGAAGGCCTGTTAAAAGTAGTGGAAGGATTTTGTGCCACCAATTATATCGATCCTTTAGTTTTAAAAGCCAACAACCTGCTACCTCTATTACAGCTACATATAAAAATGTAATTATGCTTCATAAAGTATAAATTAAATTAAATAAGAAATATAAATAAGAAAATACCTATTCTAACAAGCCCATTTTGATCAAATAATTTTTCTGCTAAAGGTGTAGCTACATCTTCTATTAATTTACTGTTTCCATATTGAATTAAATCTCCTATTGTTATAATGGAAACAATTCTAACTCTAAAATGTTGGTGTGTAAAATTACTTAAAATTGGCTTCACAAATTTCTCAGATTGCATATAAAAATACTTTGATAAATTCTTAGCGAATTCAGATATGCAATTACAACTTTCTCTTTTAATTAGTGAATAATTATCCACTATAGTATGTGTTAAAATTTTTACTAAGTCGTCTATGTATGATGCCAATAAGTTATTATATTTTAATATTATCTGTTTTAATAATATAATACATTTCAGTCTAACTTCCTCTGATGTTTCTATTTGCTCTTGAGAACCCAACCTTCTTGATAAAGTTGGAAGCAAATACATAACATATTTATCATTAGGCGTTAAATTAAGTATAAATAATTTGATAATTTCCAATGTTTGATCGCGACATATTTCTGAAGAATCATTTAAAAGTCTCAATAAAAACTTGTTCACAATATCCCATAATTTTAATATTTCACTTTCAGATTGTGGTAGTTCTAATATCTTTAGAATTTCTATTAAACCTTGTATTCTTCGTTTCTTCTCATCCGATTGCAGCGTAATACAAATCCTCGAAAATTCGAAGTTCGTTGTTTCCACAGACATCTTAAAAACATCTACAAATTACGGTAACTTTAAGTACTGAAAGGGGTTTGGAATTATCTCCATGGATTGTGTATTTCCATAGCAACATTTTTATTGATTCACGTGTCTTAACTCGAATGTTTAGTATTTAGTTTACATTTAAAATAAGAAAAAATAAAAATACCTACCCTATTTTATTTTTTAAATTACATTACTATTTTACATTCTAGAATCTTTAGATTCAAGTTTAAAATAATGTATTTGCGTTCTTTGTGGTTTGAAACATGTATATAATGTTTTTGAATATGAAAAAAAAATCTTGTAGATTACAACACTGGGTTAAAAGTAATATCAAAATATTTTAACTAATCTTACACAAGCTCCACAGTTAACTTACAACGTGTGCAAATATGAGATGCATATGTCAATATATCTACAATACATACATATACGAAAAATTGATGTCATATTAATTTACGAAGTATATTCTAAATATATTTTGCATATTAATATACATATATTTTCCATATTAACACATGTCATAAATGCGTAAAAGTCGTAGTTCAGTGATAAATGAAGATTGTTGGAAACTTTCAAATAATTCTACTGACTTAATCTAAAATAGACTAGCATGTTCATTCCTCTGTAAAACAATGAACAAAATGTAGTAGATATGTCTTGAGTATGGTCCCTGGATACAGAAATTTAACGTATTTAAGACACATTGTTTTGACACATTTCTTAATCTTCCAAAGTGACATTTTTAAACAAATAAGACATGGACTCCTTGTTGTGAATACGTCTAATAGCTTCTGCCAATAAAATACTGATATCAACAGTCTTTATTTTTGGGCACTGCATCTTTTGGATATCATGAGGAACTGTATTTGTTACAACAACCTACAATAACAGTTATGTAATATTGCTTGCATACATAGCAATCCTTAATTCAATTTTATAAATAATGTCACTCTTAATTACCTCATCAATTGGAGACTCTTCTATTAATCTCGGAGCATCAGAGCTTAAAAGACCATGTGTGGCCAAAACATAAATTTTACATGCTCCCCTTTCTTTAAGGACTTCTGCTGCAGCTACATAAGATTGGACATCATCTATCATGTCATCCTGAATATAAATAGTTTCTCAGTTTTATATTCCTTAATTTTGTTGACTTGACAAGCTATGTAAGGTTTCCCTTGCAAGTTTACGTACCACCATGATGGCTATACGTCCACCCACATCTCCTACTACATTAATCGGTGGTTTTTCTTTTGCAGGATGCATTGGAACACCAACTCCAACCTCCATTGTTCTTGAAGCCAAAGCAGGTGGAGAATAACGCCCATCATTCATGTCTGATTCTGCTTCTCTCTGCTCTCCATGAATCACTGCTATACCTAAACGTAATCTTTCTGCATAGCTAGTTGCTTTTTTTGCACTGCCAGGATTTCTTGCAACTATCACTGAATTGTGATAATCTGGAATCTAAGTAAATATGTAATTAAATAATTACAATTTAATACAATAGTGCCCAAATGTGCTATTTACATACAGATTCTTGTATATACTGTAATAGAAAAGGACTGGCTCGTAAATTGTCCACAGGAACATCAAAGAATCCTTGTATTTCTTTCTGATGTAAATCCATCGTAATTATATGAGTTAAACCACTCTTACATAACATTTTTGCTAATAATTTAGAGACTATACAACCACGTTTACGCATCTTGCATTGTTTAGAGTAAGGTAGATATGGGATAACTCCAACAATGTTTTTTGCAGAAGAAGTTTTGCAGGCGTATGCCATGATCAAAAGTTCCATTATGTTATTGTTCACATCCTTTGTTCCAGTCTGAATAATGTAAAGATCCTTACTACGCACAGAGTCTCCGATTTCAACCATTGTTTCGCGATTTGATTTATGGTATACAGAGCATCCTCCATGCTTAACACCCAATCGACTTTGAAAGAAAAAGATTACATATAATATAAAAAAAATACTGAAGATGCACGTTTATGAAAACTTACTTGGCAATAAGATTAGCCAGTTCTGGATGAGAATTACCAGCTATAAGTACAATATCCGAAGATACAGGTTTATCCATATTACGAACTTCTTGAAAAAAATCAAATGATAAAAATAATTGATGTAGAAAATAATAGACTTTTATAAGTGATATACTTTATGTTTTAAAATGTTAAAGTTCTTTTGCCATTATAGCTTAAAAAAATGAATTAATGCAGTTTAGAAGGTGCATTATAATTAACTAACACAATAAGATATTCTATCTAAATAGTACCTTATAACTGAGTTACAATACTAAATTCTACGTTCATATTTAATTACGTACTATATAGTGTCTGAAATACTAAAATCGATTATTCATTTGTATACTAATGTATGTTTGATTGTATCGATTGTATTCGATTAGTTATTTCAAACAGAAGAAGAATTGAATTTGATATAAGTTCAGTAAACTTTGTTTAATCTACATCGGTTTTATAACTGCTGATAAGTAGGCGTATACAGTTCAGAGTTCAGATCGGAAAACTTCCGACTGAAGTCAACTGAAGTGAGTCGAGGATTTCATGTAATACCAATATTTAAAAAAACGATGAATCAGATACTTGTTCATGCTGCAGTAGCATTAGAAAATTTCCCTAAACATTTTTTTTTATTTCCATGTAAATTGATGAAGAATGAAGTAGTAACACTAGCATAAGTGACTCCAAAGTAGGCTGTGACACTAGATATTGAAGTGTTTGATGCAGACAAGAGCAAAGTGTATAATATTTTTTATCGTCAATGATCAACAAAAATGAAATTTAACTGAAACTAGTGATTTTTAGGAAAATTCAAAAGCTAGTAACTTGTCTCTTTTTTGTTGGATGCTACATCGTACTACTGCATACTTCATGACTGAACTTTGAATTTTTCTTCGCTTAGTTATAAAAAATATGAAGTTCTGTAAAATTAGTGTATTGTGTTTCTCTCAGGTATTAATTTTCTGTCCAAGTATTAATGTCATTCACTATATATGAAAAGCTTATATAATATGAAAATTAAGAATGATGAAAAGGCATTTGATGAAAAAACTAAAATGTTACTTAATATTTCCTTTATTAGAGACGATTTGAAAACAGTTTATAGTACTTTTTTTATGTAAAATTTCATTGTATTTAAGATTTATTTAAAACATCTTCAAAATTCCATGCATTGATTTTGTTCAAAATCTAATTAGATCTTGCGATGAAAATATAAAACTTAAATATAAAATTTTATTGAAAACAATTCAGCTATTTACACATTATCATGTTAACCAGCATACATGCAAACACACATACATACATAAGCTCATTTAACAAATGAAGCGTTAAGTACCTGGCATCTCTTCGTAAAATACTCTTTAAACAAGCAAAAGTTTAGTGAGTAATTATGTAGCTCAGGAATTCATATTAAACAAATAAATCATAATGTATAAATATTTCTGCTTATTTTGATTGATAAATGTACTATATTTGTATAAGAAGTATAACCCTGCTGCTAAAAATAACAACACCTCATGGTATTGAATGATTTGCAGTTAAGAGTATCTAAATCTGTAGAAACAATTGCCACCTTGTTTAAAGAGTTAATTATATGTTGTAGGTTAGCATGTCTATAATTATGTATAGGTAGTTCCAATTCCTGAGTCTGTAAAATGATCACTTCTTCACAAAGGAATGTTGTATTCACTTTCAGTTACTGAGCTGCAGTATTATTTGGTTGTCCTTTAGGCTAAAATAAATTATTTGTAGAATATCTTCTACAGTGAGAGACTATCTATAGAATTACTAAAAATATAATTATAACTGCATCTTCTGTACTGTCATTGCAAGTTACAGTAATAATTTCTTGATGACGTAACAATATGTATCAAGCATAAATATTGTTTAATGCTAAAATGTATATCATCTAATGAAAAGTATTGCTTCGAACAACCGATTTCCTGTTGTTAATTAATGAAATCCCATAATCTATTCATATTCTCCTGTATCTATTACAGTACATTCGATATCCTTTTCATTGGTAGGTATTGTTGTCAGAGATACATTATTTTTACATATGAAGTGTTCATAATATTCATAATGCAAATATGCATATAAAAGTGATAGAACGTTATTTCTAAAGGAAATGTTTATCTATAATTCTTTTGGATAGTTTGATCTATGGTTCCTTTGTCGCATAGAGGGCGACACTAATTGGGTTCAGATAACTTCTGTATATAGAGAAATAGGTTAACAGCTTTGATAACATTTTTCAAACACAGTTCCAATTCAATGATGCTTTCTATTAGGTTGGTATTAAATGTAATACTGTTTAATCTTCCGTTTATTGAACAATCCACAAACGAGCTTAAACTAGGATAACCAATTTCAGGCAACAGTAATGATGTTAATAGTTTGAACCCTGGTTGGGGACCCTGTTTGGGGGGTATGTCTAATGGTTTTATAGACTACTTTTGATGTGGTTGTGATGATGATACATCATCACATATAATTAGCTTAATTACAGCGGCGATCGATAATAATGTGAACACGTGTCGCCAAGTTTGTGGAGAGTGTCTAAAGCGGAATTTAGTGTATTCCGCGACTGACATTCTATACTCTTCAAATTTACATACGTTTCACCATGTCTAGTGTCAGGCATAGCATCATTAGCATTCAATGTGCCAAACAAGAACTTGCTAACACTTTCTATTGAAGAGACATTGTTGCTTGAAAGAGTTACTCCTTCAATATCAGTACTTTTACTTTGGATAGGCATGATTCGTGTAGGTCTCTAATGCAAAGGTTGTGAGTAACAGTAATGCGAACATCTGTAATGATATAAAATGCTTTTCATGTGTCTATCGAGTTTTGCCTCACAGGCAGAACTTTAAGAAAATTACTATTAAAGGTTGTTTACAAAACTTAAATTGCTTACCGAAGTAATCTGGTTATATAGTCAGGCCAATTATCTGGAAACATCACAAGAAAGAAGCCAACTGCTATAAAGATCATTCCTGCCAATTTCATGCCCATAAAATGGGCTCCATATAAAACAACATCCAATGCTGAAACACAGTAATATTAATCAGTTATCAAGTAACAAGAATCGTAAATATAATTTTATTTTTAATCTTTATCATACCAGCAGATACAGGTACAGCTGTGATCAATCCCAAAGTAATGAATAAGTCATATGTCAGAGCAATACTGAAGTTGCCAAGCATGTTTGCAACTGCCAAATAATTAAATGCAATTATGTCTAGAAATTGTCTTCTCAAAGAAATTTATTAAAAACTAGCATCAAGAGATGAAGATGCTAACCTAGGTGAAGAATGCTTGCTAAAAGTAATGCGGTCCATGGTAACCGTCCCCAATGTACACTTTCAGCCCCCGAAAAATATAGGGCCAAACAAATTGGCCACAACAATGCTGCATTGCATAATCCGATAAGGGAGAAAAATAACGACATTTGGCCAAATGTCGTTTCTCCTATAACTTTCTTAAACAGTACCTGGTTTAACATGATATTCGCTATTTTATATCAGTTGATGCAGTGCACTCTTGAAATCATGCAATTGAACAAAGGTAGATTAACAGTAACAAAGTAATACCAGTACTATGTCCGTGTTTCGCGAGTATAAGGATTGTGCGGGATCTTTGACTTGGGTTTGAATCTAACCAATGGATTGGAATTCCCTAAGTGATTTCGAATTAATTCCAGGTGAGATTCTACCTTATAAACTGCAGAACCAGCTGCTGCTGATGTTGCCAGAACAACACCTCCCAAAGTTGGACTTCCAGTTATTCCGTCCATGTATGCTAAAAGTGCAATTCCAGTATTGCATAAAATGACTGCTACTATCTGCAACGTATTTGTTTATCATTGTTGCATACAGCTTTGCTATTATTTTGATTTCGTATACTAATTATTCTCATGAAAAGGTACTACTTACTCTAACACCGACAAATTGTTCGTGAAGTATTACCCACGATAGTAAATAGACGCAAGACACATTCGTTGCGAAAAGTGCCATTACATCGGTAGCTAATAATATCCTTAGCGAATAAATATACATATAATTTGTAACCACCCATAGTCCGCAAAAGAGACTACATCTGATTAAGAAACGACCACCAGTGAAGCCCTTATCACGAAATCCGCGTAAATTCTCTGCGATTATTTCTGATGGGGTGTTACATTTAATTCTTGCAGCTTGGCAAAGAAAATAAATTGGGAAGTATAGAATCTCCCAATTTGTGCAAAACCAAGTTGTGAAGAAAGGAGCATTGTATGGAATTCTCTGAAAAAGTTAAAAAAAAAAGCACAATTAAATTAATCGTCTTGTAAAAGAGCAAAGACAATGAAGAAGCACAATGAATATTTGATTGATCAGTCAATTCATTTTAAATTGTGCTAACTTAAAAACGACTAAAAATGGGATAAACTTACATGTTGGTGACGTAATCCTGTGACAGATGAATTCGATGATGATGATGAGTAGATTGGATTTTCCAGTTTATGGAAATATAAATATTTGATGCAATGTGTTGCACCAACCCAACTTGCTGTGACACATATTGTAACACATACACCAAAATATATCTGTAATCATAATATATCCATATGAAGAAGACTAAATAATGTGCGTCAAAAGTGCCCCTAAACCAAATCGGCTACCACTGGGTCATTTTGTAGATAAATAGGTAAAATTGAAAATTACATACTCACCCGATTTCTCCTATTATTACATGAAAAATGTTATATTATAAAATATAGAGAAAATAAAGTAAGTATGTGATTTTAATAAGGGGCCCTCTTGACCCCCTTCTTTGGCTGTACCCTATACAATTAATTGCGACCAAAAATTTCGCTACACTTCGAAGTGTAGTCACTGCAGAAGTATTTCGACCAAGCGTCAGAGTGTGTGTCGTGTGCTCGCTCGCATAATTGTTAAAGGTATTGTGTATTTGAGGTAGAAACATCCAATTAAATTAGTGCCATCAAGTTTACTTTATAACTGCCTATTACAGAAGATATTGAGGAATATTTCAAACAAAAGTTATTTGATTCAGAAAGACTGAATAATTCTTGGGTTTGATCAATGAACATTCGCACACAAATTTATTACAATCAGCATACAACATGGTGCGGTATACCCATATCACTATGTACATATATTTGTATTTACATTCATACATACATTTACATTACATTAGTATTTGTACACTCTATTATAATATTTATAAGGTTTTGATATTAGGGTCAGCTAGTGCTAGTTACAATACTAGCTGCAATGTTGGAGTATTTTAACCAAAGGACATGGCTTACACATGGAGGCCTCAGTTAATTCATTATTAATATCATGATGGGTTAGATTGTTAGTATACAGTTAGAAATTTTGTTAGTTTGCATTAGTGACTGTAATCCGATACGCACCAGTGAGAAAGTCGGCCTGTTTATGCTAGCTTCGGACACACGAATCGAGTTTGTGTTGAAGTGTCTCTCGTATCGAAGATAAAGAATTTTGGTGAAGATATCTGAAACACTATTGTATATGAAAAAGTATGTATGCTTTTCTTCGACGTCTATGACAACGTCTTCTGCTTTCTTTTCGGTCTCGCATACGAATATAACTGTAGGCACGTGCGAATGTTTGACCATAGCAACATTTGAATTAACAGACCTGCATATAATCACGGTACATGTAATCTATACGTGAGAGGTTGCATGAATGGCTATGACATGACGATGTTGCCAATAAAGAGTTTTCACGGAGTTGGCATAGCGTCTCGCGAAGGCGAGACCGCAAGTAATCTATAGAATTGGAATAAATACTGTTTACTTGAACTTTGCACATATATGTGGCTTAAACTTACACCAGCATTTATTTTGTACAAGATGATATTTCAAGAAAAGTTGTTTAGAAAGTATCTCTTTGAGACAAAATTTTTTAACATACTTTTGTTTCAAAAATAATAATGTAGTTATCATATCAAATATATAATTGTAATTTTTGTTTCAAATACGGAAAATATTGCATTATTGGATCAAATAAAACTCAGTATTAATAGGCTATTAAAAATAAATTTAAATAGTCGTTCTTTAATGATAAAAGCATGGAACAGATATACCTCTTAAAATAAACTATTATTTTTTATAATAAAATTAAAATAAATTATAAATATTTCTCAGTAATATCTATATATATTTCTGTGCTAAATAAGTATTGTTTATAATCAATGAACCTTTTTTGCAGATTCAGCACAACAGGATGTATAACAAGCAGATAAAGTATTAGGCCTTTGGTGATAAGTAACTGGAGGTGTGATCGTATGAGATTGAACTTGGGTTTGTCCTGTATTATGTCCTTGTGTACAACCAGTTCCCTCAGTAGTGACTCCACTTCCACCTGTCTCTAAAGGTCGACGACATTGCGTTGTATCACCGCTTCCGCCAGTAACGCTACATCCTTGTTCACAGCCTAAACAACAAAAATTATACAATTCATACATCAAAAGTCAAAATAATAAATACTCAAAATTCGTAAATACAGAAATAGTTGAAATAATTCCTTGTAAGAGGTTGAGTATAAACAAGAAAACAAATGTACAGATCAATGTCCAAAATATGTATAAAATATTAGTAGAATAAAGTATGTAAAATATTCATACCTTTCTTTGAAACAGTTAAAAGCTTTTATAAGAGAAAGTATTATATCTTTGATGTTGTATTATACAAGTAAATCATCATTGATGGTTCATTATAACATATTTTATAAATAATATATATTAATGTTTGCTTACCAGAATTATCATGGGTAACTTGACTAGTACTATTTCGAGAACCAAGGTTCTGCTGAACATCACCAAGAATGGTAGATGAACTATCAGTTTGTTGAGGGTGAAATATCGTTGGAATGTCCCTGATTCCTCTGCTACCCATCTTTAAGTTTGTTCTTTACAACAGGTAATGTTTGTGTTCAGCATACTCTTGTAAAAGTGTAACTTATCTCTATGCTTAATCATGCAAAAAACTTGAAACATATAGGCTGCCATATCAAAACCTGAGTACCTAATTATATCCTTTGTCCTAGATGATACTAGAAAATCTTTAAGATATAATTTGGCTGGTTTTGAAATTGGAGCATGGTGTTAAAATGTTTACATCTGTAACTATATTCTAACTTTTCTCATCATTAATATTTTTTATTAAATATTTTCAGTTTCATAAATTCCACCAAAAGTATCTATAGAGATCATACTTTAAAATAGCTGTTGAATTCCTATATAATGTTATACAAATTAAATGTAAAATCAATTTTGAAAATGACCACCACAATAAGGAACTTTGTCATGATTATTGTAAAAAATACAAGCGTGTATTATTATCGCAAGACACAAATAATATTTTACGAAACGAGTAAATCAATAATATAATTAAATAAATATACATTGATACTTTACAGATAGATTTCATAATAGTCAACACTGACTTACCTTTATATTTTTCACCGGAGTTTACGGCACACTGTAAACTCAATGTATACATTGTTACATTATCGACAATACATGAAATTACGCATTTTATGTATGCACTATCACTGAAGTTTTATATTTTAGCGTTTCACCTATTGATAGGATTTATAAATATAGTAGAAAGGTAGCATTTGCATGCCACTGTTAACTAGTACAAGCTGTCACTTTTTTTAAAAAAAACGAGGTAAATAATTGTCATGTGTTAACAGACGTTTCGAACTAGTTATTTAGATAAGCAAAAATACAAGTTTCGGTCATAAATCTTACTGTTTATGTCAATTTGATACAGTTTCACTAATAATATTCAAGTAATTTAATCTATCTATGCATACTATGTTACACCATTGATTACCAGTAAACTTTGTACTACCAACGTTCGAAATACTCCGTTCGCGTCTGCGCCTTGTTCCATTGCATTCGAAAGAACGTTCAATATGTGCGCTCCCGCGTATGTAGCGTACACCTGCGTACATACAATTGCTACTCATTGTCATTAGTCGCCATCAGTTGATTGTAACTGGTTGTAACTGGTTGTAACTTTGATCGTGCCTTATGTACCTATTATTTGAAGAATTGTCATAATATAAATAATTTATATAACTAACTGTGATAAAAGTTTATAGTGTTCGCTATGGGAAATCTTTGTACTTCGTGTTGCAATCAATCGTCGTCATGTGAAGACTTGACACCGGATTTGGTAAGGTCAAAACCATCAAAACTTTGAGGTTATATCAACACAAATATAAATATTTTTTTAAACTACTTATATTTGCATTGTGTATGCTATTCGGATTTAAATATTAAAGCAGATGTAAGAAATTATGAAATAATTTTAATTTCGAGATAACTCGAATAATTAACTAAATTGACGATTATTTAAAAGAATTATATGATTGCATATGTAAGAAAATTTTTCTTCATCTAGGAAGTTAGAAGACAAAAACAAAGGGAAGCTGCAGAAAGAAATATTGCTAAACTGCAAAATCGAGGTATTAAAAATGTAGAAGCTGTTAACAGACAAAAAATGTTAGACCAGCAGCGCGAAAGACGCGAAGAAGAAGCTAGTAAAATGAATGAAAACCCCACACTGAAGGTAAATTTATTATTTATTATTAAGTTTGTTTAAATTAGTTTGTTAAATAATATACATCTTATTTCAGTGGCAAGTAAGTTAATAAAAAAGGCGAATGGGAAGTCACTGCATTATTTGTTAACTTATTTTATTGAGCACATTTATTATATAAGCAAAATCATTTATTACTTGTGCACAAGAAATGTACACTATAGGGTACCACAATTTGACCATAATTATATACATTTTTACACAGCCTTTTCTGTGGTACTTTTACTTATATATAAATATTTTATATGAGATTCATTAAAAGAAGAGCCTTGAGTATATATGTTATGGGTATACAGATAAAACATTACAGATTATTATGCATAAATGGTTTTTGCTTAAATATTATAACTATTTTTGTTATATATATATATTCAGAGATTTTAATATATTTTAATAGTGGAGATATTTATAATGTACACTGTAATTTATTAATTAATGCTTTCAATTTATATGTGATAATAGTATTGTTTTAAAATTGTTTAATTATTGTTGGTTAATTCTGTTATATTGTTATTAAAAAATGTATTCAAAACTTACAATGCATTGTTATTAACAGTAATTTATATTGCATATTCCACAATGAAATTGAGGTCTGAATTCTTTTTAATGTACAGTGAGTTCAAATTTCACTTATGTAATATATATTTGTGTGTATGCATGTATTACTTCTTAAATAAAGTATTATTTTTTAAAACTTATCTTCGTGTAAAGAATATCCTTATTAAATTTAAATTACCTTTTCACATTAAGGAATTATGTATCGATTTTATGAAATATATTCTAGACTAACCTTTTGTTCCCGGTATTTTTGCTCAAATGAATAGCCATCTAGCGGTGAACATACCGAACTATTTTTCGGAGTATGTACAGCGCCTCTCTCAGAAAAACGCTGAAGTTTGTCCTCAATAGTTCTTTTTTCGTACTGCTAGATGGCGCCATTTATACTGATTTTTTTACCGACACCTGTCGATACATTACCATAATGTGGTAAATTCCGTTGAGGATACCGCCATCTAGCGATGAAAAGTGGAACTATTGAGGACAAACTTGAGCATTTTCCCGATAGAGGCACTGCTCGAACTTCGAAAAATAGTTCGTTATGTTCACCGCTAGATGGCAGTCTAATTTACCGCGGGAAATTTGAATGTCTTTTTATTTAATTAAATTAAAGTTCATTAGAAGCACTTATAGATACGATTAAGTAGTTTAAGAGTATTTTTAGGATATATTAATACATTAACCAATTTATTTGTCACCGACTTTGTAGCGACCTGCTCTGGTGAAGTGATTACTTTAAACTGAAAGTACAACTGAAAGTTTTAAGAGATATATCATGAATTATAATAAATATATGTATACTGATGTATTAGTGTTTTATTTGGAGTACATTTTATACGTTATTAGCAATAAATAGTTGATATATTGTTACAAATGTTGATAAATTACTTTTGTTATGCGTACTATTTAATTTATACTTTAAATGATGACAGAAAAATAGTATTTGTCATTACGATTTAAATTGTTTTATGATGAAAAGTAATATATTTTCTTATACACATTTTATAGTACAAAATATGAGTATTACAATTTTTCATTGTGAAATTACATTAGAAAGCTTATGTATATATATATATATATAAATATATATGTATATATTTACACGAATAAAACATTTGATGTTTGAAAATGAGTAAAATTTCGACCTCCTACATTACATTTTTAAGAAGAAATTTTCAATTTGTACAAGACTGTATTTAGCAAATTATAATGTTTAATAAGTATATGATAGTTTAATTAAAAATATACAATTTTAAACTGTTTTATATTTTTCCTATCCTGTGTACAGACCAAGACCGGAATAGTTTTTTTGTGGATTTAGTTTTAAGCTCTCTTCCATGAGCAATTTCTACTTCCAATGATGCTCCATTATTCAATGCTAACCATGTACGAATTTCATCGGTTGCCGCAGAAACACCTAAACGTGACACATTTTAGAATTTATTTTATACCTAATGCTATCCATATAGCAGGAAGCTAATAATAAATTTAAAGAACTAAATTAAAGAAATAAGATAAAGAGAAAATTAAATCTAAAAATACCTAATAATTCGTGAAGAGTGATGCGCCGACTAGCTAATAATTCTTTACTAGCACTTCTGATTTCGAATATTAATAAAGATTGTCTTGGAACATTCTCACCCTCTATATGAAAGTCTATGCTGAATTGAGGGTTAGGCATCGCGGGTAGAAGTCGAGATTTCGCTAATGTCTTACCACTATTTACCGAAGATGCGATTTTATCGGGACTGGTACATCTATTAAATAACGTGTAACATTGTTAATACCATTATTGATTATTATATTTATTTTAACGTGTACTTACGTTTGAAGTTTAATTCTGCAATATAATTGAGCGATATGTGCAACATGGAGACCTTGAGCCTGAAGAACTTTGCCTTCAATCCCAGAATACTTTTCTCTGGTACCATTGACCACTTTTTTTATCTCTGATGCAAAGAAAATATTATTTAATAATAGTAAATTTCTTTAATTGCTTTTTATTGATGTAATTAAATCAATAGTGTAGCTTACTAACCATTTGGTCTCAGTCTTAAACGCGGACTGGGCTGTCTTATTCTGCCAAGCATATCAGGTTGTGATACAGCATGAGCTAAACCAGATTCTTGTAGAAGCTCTGTAGCGTCAGCTTCCCCACCACCTCTAGGTTCTAAACTTAATGTTATACCTTTCCCTTCGTTCTTCTCTTCAATATTGACTTCTGAACGAAATCTACGAAGTTTCAGTCCCCTCTTTACCTAAAGTTTTTTTTTTTTTGTAATAATACCGACTGCGTTATTAAATATCCGCGGTTGACTTTTACAACAGTAACATATTTAATTATAATCAACATATTTTATATTTAAAACGTTGAAAAAAGCAACAAGTGCCTACCTTTTGCTTCATAACGCGGAAGCTATTATATTGCGGTAACTTTTTGCCGAAGCTTTGTTCAGGACTCGGAGTCAAACTATTATGAGAAGATCGTCGATCTCTTAACTTTGTCGTTTCGGTGTTATCGATCACATCCGTTCCGGCTTCGCTAATAATTCTAGGCGTCCATGAATTTTGATTTCCATTCATCTCGTTCGAATCTTTACTTTCAATGCTAGCTTTGTCTAGTTCAAATAATTTCAACGATTAAGATAAATTATTTAGTATAACTAACATCGAACAATTAGACAATAATTTACCAAATTGACTAGAAATAGTAGGTTTCAACAAAGTGACTGTACGCGGTGGCGGTGGAGGCGGTACGACATCCAAATGCAATCTCATCTTTGATTTTTCCATCGAAGGTCTTCTAATAATGTTCGACACTGTCTCGGAGGTTTCAATGTTCAATTGCGTCGAGCTTTCGCTCATATTGCTGGCTGCGTACGTACTTTGAATCTAAGAAGAACGAAATCTTTAATACGGATCGAAAAGGGAACGATAAAAACGCAAATCTTTATTTCGTTAAGAAAATATCGGGCACCTCGCACTCTTCGGACAAGACCTTAATCTTCAACTCTACAGATCCAGTTTTGGTTCCTCTTAATGTGAACCAATTGGACTGATCGCTGTTAGATAATTTTCTGACGTCATCGAGAGTCAATGATACTTTTCCAAGATAGTCTTTCATACCGAAAGTATCATGATCCCATAAAACCTATATGAAAAGATTAAGAAACATTATATATATATATATATGTAGTTTATCTTGATACTAAAACTGTAGATAATTATATTCAATTATTAAGGATCTTACGACATCCAAGGTCTCGCCGTTTCTAGGTAAACCCATAATGGAACTTTCATCCCAGCAGGGATTCAACGTCTTCTTCTTTACGCTGCTCTTGTATTTTGTTTCATTATTGAGCTTCAATTCGCAAAAAGGATCGCTGAACCCATTCAGATCTTTTGCTACGAGATCTTTGGCACGCATCAAAGTTACTTCCATTAATCCACTTCCGGTGGAAAGTAGACTCGATACGTCCGACGAAGCAGGATCTATGTCCTTGTGAGTCAATAATAGCTTCTAAAAATGAAGCAAGCAAAAATAAAATATAAGAATGGTATAAATAAATGATCTATTTTTATCAAGTTCACTAACTGCTTGTTGCATCCATGGTATGCTGTTCCTTTTAGATTTTGGTTCATCATCCGAAACAGGAAGAGCCAAGCTACTTCTTCGACTGGTGATTACTTGCTGTACACTTTTAATGGGATGGAACATTACGGAAACTGTCATCGTCGACATATTATTCGAGCCACTGAGCGTCAATTCTTTTCTGACTATCCATGTACTGTCCTGTATATGGAATTGATAAGTTAATAAATTAAACATACATTGTACTTATAATTTACCAATACTTTGTATAAATAAATAAAATATGCGATCTTACTTGAGACAAGGACAATATAGCGAGACCAAGCATATCGCTGTCAGACGATTTCGATATATTCCAGGAATACACAACGAAACTTAAAGACACTTGAGTGTAATCCTGAACAAGAAATTGAGTTCTCGATTCCCAGCATGGCGAAGTGGTGCTTCGAACGTAATGCGTTGTCTTTACCTGACGGTTAAAAGAGAAATAACGGTATGACTTTTTTGCATCGATGAAGTATGAAATTATATTAAAATTGATCTGCTTTGTGGATATCAGAGAACGTACCTTTTTACGATTATTAAACAACATGCAATAAGGATTGCATTGCGAACTGTCGCTACTGAGATTTTCCGCCGAATGGATATAAACCACAAGCACCCCTGGAAATTTATATTCATTATAAAGTAATGAAATTATTGCAGAGTGTACAAAATATTATAATACAATACAATACAATATATTATGTCATTACACGTCGATGCACATGAAAGAGAAGTGACAGTACTGCACCGTGCTTTAATAAGAAAATGAAAATATTCAAAGTTCATGCTAGAAAGCCACATTCAATAGGTTCATTACCATCATTACAATATTTATTGGGCTTTACCTGATTTTTGTGCTCGATTCGGATATTTTCGTGACACTGAAAATATCAGATACGGATAACGCCAAACAAAATAATTGATTTTCGAGAAGATGTTTCACGTTACGCAATTCTTGATATATGATTTTTCTAGCAAATGCGCGGTGAAAATCCATTGAACAGTATTTCTCAAACTTCAACTTTTCATAAAACCTCTTAGTATATAATAGAGTATTTATGGCGAATCACCTTGGGGTGGAATTACGATTAATTTTTAATGGAAAGCATTTCTTCTCTCAAGGACTCATGGACTAACATTCCAACATAGTTTGAGAAACACCGTCAGAAAAATAAAAGGAAATTGAAAAAATACCTGAAAGATGTAAATTATCTTCTACTACTTCCGGTTGCGGTAGATCTGGATCCAATTTGGGGAGCGTTGTGTACTCCAATCGAGCGTTGATGTTTGGAATGTTGGCGCTATTACGGGATGGTTTCTTTTGTTGTAAGACGGTTTCGACGCTGTCGAATAAAAGTAATAAAAAAGTTTATGACAAAAAAAAAAAAAAAAACTGGACAGTTAATCACCCACAGCCTAATATTTAAACTTACACCTGCGAGTTGTCCCAGTTATAAACTCCTAGCGGCAATTCAAATTGTGCCAAAGTGATCGTACTGACAA